AATTCAATAGAATCATCAACCCATACTTTAATATTTTTCTAAAAATTGTTTAAAAACAAGAATTTAGTTGTCTTCTCCACCTTCCATAGCTCCAAAGAAACCTTTCTGGTGCACAAGACAAACTGAAGCAAATATTCTCTAAAAGGTGACTTACTGATTTCAATAAAAAGTGCAATTTGATGACAGTTCTGCTTCAATAATGTGAGGCACTTCTACCAAACTACAATTCAGTTGCCCTAACGAAAAGAAGAAAAAAATCCTAAGTCTGCAAGCTGACCTCTACAAAATTCCTGCCATGAAACCATTCTTTCCTTCCAGCGAAGAAAAAGATCCTACACGTTCAAGTTCTTTATCATTTTACATGTGGGCTGCATGTCATTCTCCAATGGTGTCCCTCTCGCTTGGTCGCTCTATGTCCTTCCCATAACTGATTCGTCCTTGGATACCGACTTGCCTAACGATTGAGACTCAGACCGATCCAGCCATTCTGGCTTTACGACAGGGAATAGAAACGACAAGGAATAGCAGGCTTCGGACCAGACGCAAAGGGCAGCCAAGTGCCATCTGGAACCAAAACCGGGACAAACAAGAGGTTGGGAAGCAAAGTGGCCTCAAGCCAATGACCTTTCCCCCTGACCTTGAAAAGGTACGTGCACACTGCCGCTCACAGTCGCTAAACTGAATGGTATTCATGAATGTGGAAATAAGAATAATTCAGTATTTGGAATTAAAAATAAAACAGAAACTAAATCATAAGCGACGGCTGCATGAAGAAAAGGAAGGTTCCAAGGCCCTGACAGGCGAGTCTGAATGTGCAGTAGCTGGAAAGAGGAAGAGGGAAGCGGAGGGAAGACACCGACACCTTCCGCCGACCTCAGGCGCCTGACGTCCCGGGGAGACGGCCACCGTCGGTGCGCATGCGCAACTCGCGGAGGGAGCGTGGCGGGCGCGCGCCTGCCTCGCGGATCCCGGGCCGCGAGGGTGGGGCGGGAGCACGTGACCGGCGTTGCCGCTTTTCCGGCCCGAGCCGCGGCGGTTCGGAGAGCGTCGGTGCAGAACAGTTCGGTCCGCCTGGGTTTGTCCGCAGGCCTGACCACTTCTTAGTCTCCCTGCTTCTCGTCTCTGCTCTTGAAGCCAGGATTCTGGTTTGGCAGACTTTTTTCCCACTGAGTGAAATTAGGGCACCTGAGGGGACTTCCGGTCAAGATGGCGGAGTGAGTAAACCGTCTCTGAGAAGCTGAAAATGTGTCCAAGGTCACAATTTTTTTTTTTAATGAGGGGCACAAGCTAAAGTGGTGCTTTTTCTGTCTTTTCCTCCATAGCTAGAGTGCCACTGCTCCAATTTGAAGTTCTGTGGCTCTCCCCGCAAGGCGATCAAATCCTGTTCCTACTGCTTGAGACTCCAGAATCTGTAGGGCACCCTGTTGTAAAAATAGTACCCTTAAAAGGGGAGAAAAAACTGCTTCATATCTCAAGGATTGAGGGCTTGGGGAAATTAAGGTAAAAATTTAGAGAGGCAAGTGTCCCATAGTAGTAGGACACATAATTTACCTCAAAACACGCATTCCAGAAGAGCACATTATTCCAATTTAAGCATCTAAAAGCATTTGAGCACTTAAATAAACTCTCCCCATCTGTTTATTCAAGCCTCCTGTCAAGAATCTGTAGTGCCCCAGCCGGTTTGGCTCAGTGGGTAGAGCCGCGGCCTGCGGACTGAAGGGTCCCGGGTTCGGTTCTGGTCAAGGGCCCAGGCCCGGGTTCCGGGCTCAATCCCCACCCAGTAGGGGGCGTGAAGGAGGCAGCAGATCAATGATTCTCTCTCATCATTGATGTTTCTTTCTCTCCCTCCCTCTCTAAAATGAATTTAAAAAAAAAAGACTCTGAAGTAGTGATGCCTTACCTGCATGATGGGGTGGGTCCGCCCCAGAGCAGTACGGCAGAATGAAAGGACTTGGAGAAACTTGATCTCAAGGCTGGAGTCCTTGACAAGAAAAGGAAATGGGGTAAAAGCAAATCAATGAGGCTTAATTCTAGAGTTCTGATCCACACACCAAAGGCTACAGCCTAGGAACCTTGGCAGCGGGGAAGCAAACAATCGTGCAAAAGGATAAAATGCCAAATATGTCAAAACAATAAAAAAGGGAATTTAGCCCTAGCCAGTCTGGCTCAGTGGTAAGAGTGTCGGCCTGCGGACTGAAGGGTTCCAGGTTCGATTCTGGCCAAGGGCACATGCAGGGGGTTGCGGACTTGATTCCCTGTAGGGGGCGTGCAGGAGGCAGCTGATCCATGATTCTCTCTCATCATTGATGTTTCTATCTTTCTATCCCTCTCCCTTCCTCTCTAAAATCAATAAAAATACAGTTTTTAAATTTAAAAAAAAAAAAAGGAAATTTAGCTCCACATATACCATTATACCGTAGATAGCTTGGTACAAAATAAATAAATAAGCCCCTGACCTGGAATCCTATTCAGAAAGATTTCCCTTATTTCCTACAAATATAAATCCTCAACATTACAGGTAGGAGTTCAGAATGTTCTCAGAAAACCAGGGGGGCGTGTGTGCACAGCTAACAGTGGATGTTTCCCTGCGGGAGTTGCACTGCGGTGGTAATTGCGGCTTCCCTGGCAGACGCCAGTTTCCTCAGGTGCAGCTGCCATTGGTTAAGTTTAGCTGCTGCCACTGCAGTTCCTTCCATTACACTTACCGCTTCGTCCGCCAATCCCAGCATTCCTCAGTCAGTCACAGCTACCGCGTCTATATAAATAACAGAGTTCCACTGAGCCTGTTGGCGTCTCCATGCCAAAAGGACAGGACTCCAGGAGAAAATGCCTCCAAGAGGAGAAACCTAGTAGGGCCTTTATGCGTTAACCCTAGGACTGTGGACTATTCAAGGAAAGTCACAGCTAAAGTGCAGGCCACAGCCCTAGCCTGTTTGGCTCAGCGGATGGAGCTGGGCCTGCAGACCAAAGAGTCCTGGTTCTCCCGCCAAGGGCACGTACCTTGGTTGCAGGTTCCCCCCCAGCCTGGGCCCTGGTCAGGGCTCCTGCAGGAGGCAACCAATTGATGTGTTTCTCTCACATCTCACATTGATGTTTCTGTCTTTCCCTTTCTCTTCCACTTTTCCTAAAAATCAATGGAAAAATATCCTCCGGTGAGGATTAACAACAACAAAAATAATAAAGTGGAGGGCATAGATCATGCATGGCCTCCTACAAGATGGTGCAGTCTGAGTATTTAATAGGATAATCAGAGGTGTAGGGAAGCATTTACAGTGTCACAGTAACTTCTTTTTTGTTGTTCTTTCTCTTTTTTAAATATATTTTTTGATTTCAGAGAGGAAGAGAGAGGGAGAGATAGAAACATTAATGATGAAAGAGAATCATTCATCTGCTGCCTCCTGCATGCCCCCTACTGGGGATGGAACCGGCAATCTGAGCATGTGCCCTTGACCTGAATCGAACTTGGGACCCTTCAGTCCTCAGGCTAATGCTCTATCCACTGAGCCAAACCGGCTAGGGCTGAAAGGAACTTCTTGAAGAGCTAAAATAGGTTGTTTTCACCAGTGTTGTGTGCCTACTAGTATTTAGTGGCTCGTGTCCAGTATTGACCAGTAATATGGATGTGTCCATTGCATAAGTGACCAGGTCCAAATGATGCCTAACAAAAATGTAAATGAGTAAACATTCACAAAATTTAAAACGTCACACTTGCTTCACTTCCTCTTAATCAGAATTGATTATAGGGTAAAACCTGCTTCAGGGTCTTATCACCCAAAAAAAGTGGTTAGATTTGTATGAAATAAAAATATTTTACTAGTACATAATCATTTTAAAGATTCTCTTGGAGAGTAACTCATTTTGTAATTTCCATTTTGTGGTATAACCTGTTCTCCTTCAAGTTAGGGTTGTCCAATAGACTAGTAACACAAGTAGCTACCTGGGGGCAAATTACCCAAGCCAGGCTCTCAAATCTTAGGCTGATTAATACATGAATAAGGAATGCAGCAGAATGCTATTAAGCAACAGCTGCAGAATATGATTGCACCCAGTCCTAGGAAGAACTGAGAGGACATTTTCAGCAGTTGGGAAAATAAATGTCCTTGAAAAGCCTCTCTTTAAAATATAGAACAAGGAATAAGCAATAAAAGTGTTTTGTTTTGAATTACAATCTCTCAGAACTGCTTCATTATCTAATACCCCCACCAAAAACTTTTAGTAGTTCTGCTATTTCCTTTAACCAAGAGGGGAAAGGCTTTTAATGTTTTAAAGATATAACACACACAAAAATGCCCTACTAATTTCAATAAACAATTCCTGTAGTTAAAATAAGCTTCAATATTTTCCAACTCTTCAGGAAACAGTTGCATAATTAATATACCTTTTCAATATTAAACTTTAAGACAATTATGAAAACATTACCTATTATTATACTTGTACCTTGATTTGATAAAATACATTCCAGAGTTGCCTAAAATGAAACATTTTAAAAACTACTTATCACAAGAAAACCAAGAGAGCAGGAAAAAAAAATTGTTTGGTTCAGGTTTGATTTGCTCAGGGTAAACATGCAAGAATTATGTGTTTGTATTTAGATTATCGAGGGGTCCTAAAGATAAACATACAGTATAAATGAAGAGTTTGGACCCATTTTACAAAACTACTAATGTACAACAGGTTTATAACAACTTTAGTTAACTACAAGTAATAATTACTTCAACTGTAGGTAATAAAGTTATTACTTCAAATCAAAATACAAAAAGTACTGGATCAATTTGCAACTCCAAAAGAAAAATTAAGAAAATCCAGAATTTTTTTCTGCTTCTTGGAAAAAAAAAATTAAGAAGGCAGATCATGAGTTAATTATTAAATTGCAATGCCTCATATCACACCCAAGTGTTTAAATGATTTAACTTCCAAGCTGTTGCTCAGTTTTTTAAAAAGATCTTCAATGCTCCCAATGGCCGTGTTCAAAAGTGAATATCATACGCTGAAACTAATCATTAACAACAAATCTTCAATTTATTTGAAGCAATTCAGTTTCAAAAACTTTAAATTACAGCAGTCTCAGAAAAAACAGGGAACAGTCAGAAACAATAAAGGAATACTCAGAAGAACTGCATTTTTTTTGTTGTTGTTTTAACACTGTCATGGCTTTATTCAAAACACAGTTGCACAAAAGTATTAACTTCAAAGATTTTTGAGTTTTGAGGAGTTTAACACACTATATACACACTGCCATACAAAGAAGCATTAAAATAGGACCGAAAACGTCTACAAAATATAAAACCCACCCTTATTTGCATGAAAATATCACCCACAAAGCTAAATAAGTCTTAAAAGTTATTTGGAGGCTCTTAAGTGTTGTTTACAAACCAAAGAACAATAATATTGATTGCACAATAAAATGATTGATAAGAAAGCCAGTATATAAATTTAACTTTAAAAATAAGTATTTTATAATCTGGCAAACAATGTGATGAGAATTCTTAGGGACTAAAACAAGGGATTTCAGTTGTTAAAAAGGAATAAAATGTTAGCTATTTGGATATTCGAATCCCCCCACTAAACTTATCTCAAGAGTTTTAGTTCAGTCATTTTGTGCCACTTTTTAGTTTAAGCTAAAGCAGTACTATACTCAGTAATTGAAATGTGTCCCAGTATGAAAGTGTAACTTCAGTTAATTTGCTGACACTAACAAAAAAACTTACAAATATTCAAAACCGAAGGGGGAAAAATTTAGAGAGCCAAGATTAAAAAAGCAATTGCCTTGAACATGGAGCCTCCATAACAAAAAGGGAGATGAACTTATCTACTCATATTATAATCAGTAGCCATATAAGAAAACACACTCGTACTTTTCCCAAATATTTTTCTATTTTTAATGGACATCCACTTGAAAACAAATCTTAATTTTAATATGGATTTAGTTTCAAATATTTTTCCATTGTCTAATATATTCCAATCAAATGCTAAATCTGATAATGCTTTAAAACTATAGAGAGAATAATTAAAGGTTCTACTCAGAAAAAATTAGAAATGCTTGCAGAGTGGTAGCTAAGTCATTTGGGAAGCTAACTTATAATTTGATTTGAATGTCTCATTAATTACCAACAGGCAAATTATTCTGACTTTTGAGGAACACTATTGCTGCTTCCAAAAGCCCATCTGCTTTTCTTTCTTCATCCTTCTACAGTCTGTATATCTTGTCAACCAAGAAGGATTTCCAGTAAGCAGAGTCTGTTGCATAAAACTGCATAGATAATAATATTCGTATCTCAGAAAATACTCAGTTTGTTTCACTTAGCTTTTTGAAAACTGAGACAGGTCTGAAAAGGTAATTGAGGTATAAGAATAAAGGTTTTCCTGGGTATTCATAAGTTTCCCCCCCATTTTTTTTTTTGAGGAGAGGGAGGAGAGTGAAACAAGAAAGGAAGGTGGTCGTAAAGGAATTGTTGATGAAAAATGCACACTTAAAAATAAAACAAAAACCAACCCTTAGCATGTCATGATCTTCATTCAGCTTGAGAACAGAGGGCTCCTCTGCATGTCTCTGAACTTACTATAAGCAATTTTTCCTTCAAAAATAAAATCTTATTAGCCACCTGGCTTAAAGGTTTCAGAAGCCTCCCCAAAAGCCAGGAACTATGTTGTTGAATAGAACCTTTACTATTCTGCTCCTACTTTCCAAGCACCCAAAATCCCTTAGCCAAAAAAGGCATTGCCTTCAAAATGAAGATCTCTGGGTCACCTCTAAAAAAATTACCAACTTATCATTCAAAAGACTATTTTTATTTCATACTCCAGCTGACTGTGATTTCTGTTAATTGATAAATAACTTTAAAACCTTATGAATGAAATGCACCATACTATGCCTGTGCAAAAGCCATCATGTTTTAACTATGGGCTAAAATGACTAAGAAGTAAACTTGTATTAGAAAAATTAAGATTCTAAATAAACTGCTAGGGAATTTCACAAGGAGGTCAATGAAAATTTTTCTCTACATATGATTAACAGACTAGTAAATCTTATTTGGAATGATAAGGCAAAAATAGTAAAACCACACTTTTCCTATAAAAAGTTACACATTATCTTATGTAGGGATAACTATTATACATAAAGAAACAAGATGTGACCACTCTATTGCACACCCAGGAATTTAGGGAAACTGGTTTTAGAATGATCTAGTCATCTTCTTCCTCTCCATCATCTTCAGCATCTCGTTTCCGCTTTTCCCCTCGAAGACCTTCTTCTGAAAGAAGAGTGAAAGGAAAAGTATAAAATATTTAATTTTAGCAAATAAATATTTGTTAAATTACAAAGTTTGGATCTATCTTAGTGAAAAGTTAATGGCGTAAAAAATGATAGGTTAAGTGTCCTCTGTGAATTTTTCAACTTCAGTTGAAAGAACTTAATAGACTTAGAAATCCATAAATAATGGAAGCTTGCTATGCACCCTTGTGGCCAAATCGTGAAGTACAGGTCAAGAAATTAAGGGCTTGCCCTGACCAGTTTGGCTCAGTGGCTAGAGCATCGGCCTGCGGACTGAAGGGTCCCAGGTTCGATCCTGGTCAAGGGCATGAACCTTGGTTGCGGGCACATCCCCAGTAGGGGGTGAGCAGGAGGCAGCTGATCGATGTTTCTCTCTCATGGATGTTTCTAACTCTCTGTCCCTCTCCCTTCCTCTCTGTAAAAAATCAATAAAATATATTTGGAAAAAAAAAAAGAAATTAAGGGCTTGATATAATGGACTTATTAGTGAATTTTAAAATTTATTTTGAAAGGCCTAGGTAGAGTACCAGAGAACAAATTTAAAAAGGGTATTATCGAGTTCAACTGTTCTTCCCTTCTAGAGAAGCCTTCATCCTCTCCAAAATGTAAGATCCTGAAAAAATTAATAAACTGAACTCAGAGATCCATTATCTTGCCTGGCCAGTGTAACTCAGTGGTTGAGCGTCAACCTATGAACCAGGAGGTCATGGTTTGATTCCCAGTCAGGGCACATGCCCAGGTTTTGGGCTCAAACCCCAGTGGGCAGGGTGCAGGAGGCAGCCGACCAATGATTTTTTTCTCATCATGAATGTTTCTATTTCTCCCTTTCCCCCGTCCTCTCTGAAATCAACAAAAATATATTTTTTAAAAAGAAATCCATTATCTCTTTATTCCTACTTTTTTTTAAAAATATATTTTATTGATTTTTTTTTTTTTACAGAAAGGAAGGGAGAGGGATAGCGAGTTAGAAACATCGATAAGAGAGAAACATCGATTCAGCTGCCTCTTGCACACCCCCTACTGGGGATGTGCCCGAACCCAGGTACATGCCCTTGACCGGAATCGAACCCGGGACCCTTGAGTCCGCAGGCCGACGCTCTATCCGCTGAGCCAAACCAGCTAGGGCTCTTTATTCCTACTTTTAAAATAAATGTTATAAGCTGTTTTTTGATTGGAATTAATGAATACCCTGAGAAAAAAGAGGTTTTATACCTTTCAAGGGAATTCTATGATATGTTGCCAAAATCAAAGAGATCAGTAGTAATTTTGAACTGTAGAGTCAATCTTTAAAGTCCATGAATAGCTGTAACTTTAATTTTAGGATATCTTTTTCTTCTTTTTTTTACTCTTTATCATTGAGTATTATAGATGTCTCCCCCTACCTCCCCCTGCCCCAACACACACACACTGCCCTCCTCCACCTGGATCCTGCCCCACTCCAGGCCTTTACCACCCTATTGTTTGTGTCCACGGGTAATGCATATATGCATATAAGTTCTTCCGTTAACCTCTTCCCACCATCCCCTCCCCTCTTCCTTCTGACATCCATCTGTCTGTTCTATGCTTCCATCCCTCTGGGTCTATTTTATTCATTAGATTCCTTGTTCATTTATTTTCATTTTTTAGATTCAATTTTTGATAGATATGTATTTGTTGCCATTTTATTGTTCACATTTTTTATCTTCTTCCTCTTTTTAAAGAAGACCTGTCAATATATCATGTAATACTGGTTTGGTCATGATGAATTCCTATACCTTTTTCTTGTCTGTGAAGTTCTTTATCTGACCTTCAATTCTAAATGATAGCTTTGCTAGGTAGTCTTGGTTGTAGGTCCTTGTTCTTTATCACTTTGAATATTTCTTGCCACTAACTTCTGGCCTGCAAAGTTTCTGTTGAGAAATTGGCTGACAGTTGTTTGGGCGCTCCTTGTAGGTAACTAACTGCTTTTCTTTTTCTGTTTTTAAGATTCTCTTTGTCTTTAACCTCTGGTATTTTAATTATGAAGTCTCTTGGTGTGTGCCTCTTTGGGTTCATCCTGTTTGGGACTCTCTGCACTTCCTGAACTTGTAAGTCTATTTCTTTCACCAGGTAGGGGAAGTTTTCTTCATTTTTTCAAACAGGTTTTCAATTTCTTGCTCCCTCTCTTCTCCTTCTGGCACCCCTATGATACGAATGTTGGTACGCTTGAAGTTGTCCCAGAGGCCCCTTACACTATCTTTATATTTTTGGATTTTTTTTTCTTTTTGCTCTTCTGATTGGGTGTTTTTTGCTTGCTCATATTCCAAATCGCTGACTTGATTCTTGGCATCCTCTACTGTTGATTCCTTATAAATTATTCTTCATTTCACTTAGTGTATCCTTCATTTCTGACTGTTCCTTTTGTATGTCCTTGAAGTTCTCATTAAGTCCCTTGAGCATCCTTAAAACCATTGTTTTGAACTCTGTATCTGGTAGTTTTCTTGCTTCCATTTCATTTAGTTCTTTTTAAAATATATACATTTATTGATTTCAGAGAGGAAGGGAGAGGGAGAGAGAGAGAGAAATATCAATGATGAGAGAGAATCACTGATCAGCTGCCTCCTGCACACCCCCTACTGGATCCTTTCAAGTTGCTGCCCCACTGCTGGAGCTCAGAGGGAGTGAGTCTGAGTAAGTCTGTGTGCGGGCCCTTTAAGAGGAACTGCCTGGGACTCCAGCAGCCTCTGCACCACTCAGCCACAATCCCCACTGGTTTTTAGAACCTGAAGTTACAGGGACTTCTCTTCTTGGCACTGGAACCCTGAGTTGAAGAGTCTGGTGTGGGGTTGGGATAGCCTTGCTCCTCACAGGGCGAACTCTGCAGCCAAGATATACCTTCTGATGTTTAACCATCACACATGGGTGTTGGACCAGCCCGTTCCACACCTCTGCCCCTCATACCAGTTTCAATGTGGCTTCTTTAATTCTCTAGTTGTAGGGCTTCTGTTCTTCCAAGATTTCAGGTGGTTCTGAATGATGGCTGTTCTGTGGTTTAGTTGTAATTTTGATGTGGTTGTGGGAGGAGGCAAATACTGTGTTTACCTATGCCGCCATATTGACCCTCCCCCTCTAATTTTAGAATATTTTTATGGCTAATATAACTCACCCTCTTCTTCTTCTTCTTCATCATCATCTTCTTCTTCTTCCCCTTCAACATAGTCATCATCATCTTCTTCATCCTTGAAATTCAAATATTCAGTTTAAGAATAAATGAGCCATGACACATATTTTCCAGTTTGATACTTATAATTTTAAAAACACAAGATACTAATCACATTTATCTCTTGATAATTTAGAAATGCCCAAGTTTAAAAAGCTAATTACTTCTCTGGAACTTGTTTTAAAGAAAATATGATTACAATGCCTATTATAAGTCCTACATAAAGTCCTTCTTTATACATATTAATTCCTTACTTTTGAAGAGCAGCTGAAATAGAAATAAGAGTCAAACTGCCCTGGCCAGGTGGCTCAGTTAGTTGGGACATCATCCTGTATACCAAAAGGTTTCAGTTTGATTCCCAGTCAGGTCACATCCTAGGTTTTGGGTTCAATCCCCATTCGAGGCACATATGGGAGGCAACTGATAGATGTTTCTATCTCACATTGATGTTTCTTTCTATATTTCTCCCTTCCTCTCTCTCTAAAATCAGTAAAAAAGATATCCTAAGGTGAGAATTTTTTTAAAAAAAGACTCAAACAAATAATACCTAATCAAATACCATTTCTATTTCCTTCTACTTTCTCTTTAAATCTCAGTAGTCTCTGACACTCCCTTCCACTGGCTCTTAGTTTCTAAAATCAAGACCTCATTTTAAACACCCAAATTATCTCATCATAATTGAACACTTCTAGTCCCTGCTATCTGGGTACTACCATTAACTTAATGTTATCTTACAGATGTTTGTTCTATACGTGACCATTCAGTTTTAGTTAATATTTCCCAATGTTCAATGGAATGATACACATAAACATTTGCAGTTAACTAAAGGTCATTTTTAAATTACTTAATACTATCCAGACTTAAAAAGAATGATTGACAGAGAAAATAAAAAGCCAAATACAAAATGACATGAGTTCATTATTTTACTAAATAAATTAAAACTTAGGGGAAAAATACTCAAGTTGTATACTGATTCAAATTAAACAGGTTGCCTTTCTCTATGAATACATAAGATACTTAAAAGTTCTATTCTTCATGATGCTATAGCTCCTAACTCACTAAGGGCCCAAACAAGTTTGAGTCCTATTTCTCCTCATACTAGTTTTATATTTAAAAGAGTATCAGAGAAAAATTACCATTAATCAGTGATATCATCTATCTAACCAATGTAAGTCATTAGGAAGACAAATGAGAATACTAACAATTTCTAGTCTAAGATATTATTTTTAATAATAAAAACTTGTTTTAAATTATAAATTATGAAAATGAAACTCAATAAATTAACAATAGGAGAAACTCCCTCCCCTTAAAGATCTCGCCATCTAGCAGAAAGTTGCCAAATAAACAAGTTTTTACAAAAGTGACTACAGGTAATAATAGAAGCCTAATCAAGGTTCAAAGGTAACAGAGAAAGGAGTAACTGTCTATTAAAAATTATAAAAAGCTTCAATGAGGCAACTCCAGAGCTGAGAGTTTGTGTGGTGTTTTTTTATAAAGTAGAGCCTTTTACAAAAAATACTTTCATTGATTTTTTAGAGAGAGAGGAAAGGAGAGGGATAGAGAGGTAGAAACATCGATGAGAGAGAACCATCATCGATTGGCTACCTCCTGCACACCCAGTGTAAGGATGGAGCCCGCAATCCGGGCATGTGCCCTGAAGGGGAATTGAATCACAATCTCTTGACGCTCAACCACTGAGTCAAACAGGCTGGGCCAGAATAGAGTTTTTAAAGATAACAGTTCACGAGACATGATTTGTGTGGTGGTTACACAAGTATAAACATTTGTAAAATCCTGTGGATTTTCCCTGGCTGGTGTGGTTCGGTGGACTGGAGCATTGTCCCGTATACGAAAGGCCGTTGCTTCAATTCCCAGTCAGGGCACATACCTAGGTTGCAGGGATCCGGGGCATGTAAGAGAGGCAATCAGTAGATGTTTCTCTCTCACATCTATGCTTCTGTCTCTCTCTCTCTCTCCCCCTTCCACTTTCTATAAAAATCAGTATTGAAAAAACATATCCTTAGGTGAGAATTAAAAAAAATGTCATGGGCTTGTACATAAAATCAGTGTACTTTACATGCTTTATTCTATTTATGTTTATCTCAAAAAAAGAAAATTCATCAGAAGACATGGGTACAAAGTCATTAATAGAATACTCACGTTATATATACAGACAGAAAGGCAAGAAATAGCTTCGTGTGACAATTTATTTTGGTATTGAGGGAGATAAAGCCAGAGAAGGAAGCAGGGGCTAGATAATGAAGGGCCCTGTGTGTCTTGGTGGCAACAGGGAAATATTAAAGGGTTTCAAGCAGGCTAGTATTTGCATTCAGAATACACAGGCAAGCACTGCAAAGGCTACACCTTAGTGGTGATGCTGTATTCAGAGAGAGCATTTAGAAAGCTACAACAAAAGCACAGCAAGAAACCGGCTCCAGTGACTTGGTTGGTTGGGCATCATCCCATGCACCAAAAGTTTGCCAGTCTGATTCTGTTGGGTGGAATACCTGAGTTGGGGGTTTGGTCCTTGGTCAGGAGGGAATGGAGAGCGGCCCATCAATGTCTCTCTCTCACCCCCTCGTCTTTCCTCTCCCCAAGCATGTCCTTGGGTAGGGGTTTAAAAAAAAAGCATAAGCAATTAATAATTAGGGTAAAGAAAAGTTTTCGTGAGTGCCTACAATGTGCTAGCTAGATACTTCATAGGTATTATTTTGTTAAACCCTTAAAACAATCCTACGAGATTGGTATAATCGCTAAGTTTTATAAAAGCAGAAACTGAGACTCAGAAACAGTTGTAAAATGTTTCCATCACACCATGCTGCTGAGTGCAGAATGGATTTGAAAGGTATCTAGGAGGTAAAATCAATAGATGTTTATGATTATCTGGATATAATATGAATTGAGGGGAGTGGGGGAGAAAAATGACAGGCAAGCAGACACATGCACCCCCAGAAGTTAGAAATAACTCAGATTTCTACACACCTTACTTTTTATAGTATTTAGCTCTATGCCTAAAAAACTAATTTTCAGTGCAGGTAAGAAGGGTCTGTTCACCTGAATTTCTTCTCTCATTAAGTATGAGAGGCCCACTTCCTCTTCTCCCTCTCCCAATTCTGAGCCTGCTTCATCTTCCTCCTCATCCTCTTCTTCCTCCTCTTCTTCCTCATACCCTTCAGGTGGTCCTGCTTCATCTTCCTCTTCATCATCTTCATCTCCATCTTTAAAAATATTTTCAGAGATAGGCAAATGGCTGGGCAAATGTTTCTTGATAATATATTGATTCTTTTAACCCTTGCCCCAATCACTTCAAACTCTTAAGCAAATGGGTAGGAGGTATCTCAGGGTGATTTTATTTCTTAAAATGTCCTCTTTATAACACCCATATTTACTACTTGAAAAAAAGGGTTTCTAAATATTGAAAATTTCCAACATATAGCTTTTTATCACAATATTACATGTACTAAAGTTTATTTTACTTTGTGGACACTTCAAAACCTGCTTGTCCATCATTCCATCACTTTATAACATTGTTTATCCACCAATTCTTTTCAAATAATAGTAACAAAGTGTACCATAACTAATAACAGCTTTTTGTCCATCTTATCTGTTAGTCACCCATTGTCCCAAAAATATATATTCACTATCTAATTCTAGAACATTTCCATCAACCCCAAAGTAACCCCAAATCCATTGGCACTCACTATTCTCCCCTCCCCTAGCCCTGGCAACCAATAATCTACTTTGTAGCTCTGTGAATTTGCCTACTCTGGACATTTCAATATAAATAGTTATACAATATGTAGTCCTTTGTATCCAGCTTCTTTAACTTAGTAGAAGGTTTTCAGGGTTCACTCTGGTATCAGTACTTCATTCATTTTTATGGCTGAATATTACTCATACATACATATACATGTATACTAGAGGCCCGGTGCACAAAAATTTGTGCACTTGGTGGGGAGGGGAGGTCCCACAGCCCGGCCTGTGCCCTCTCTCAGTCTGGGACCCCTCAGGGGATGACCACCTACTGGCTTAGGCCTGCTCCCCGGGGGATTGGGCCTAAGATGGCAATCAGACATCCTTCTGGCAGCCCGGCAGCCCTCGGGGGATGTCCACTTGCCAGCAGGGAGCAGGCCTAAACTGCAGTCAGACATCCTTAGCGCTGCTGAGGAGGCAGGAGAGGCTCCCACCACCACCGCTGTACTGGCAGCCATCAGCCTGGCTGTGGCTGAGCAGAGCTCCTCCCATGTGAGAGCATCCTGACCACCAGAGGGCAGCTCCTGCATTGAGCGTCTGCCCCCTGGTGGTCAGTGTGTATCATAGTGACCAGTCATTCCCAGTCCTTCTGCTGTTAGGGTCAGTTTGCATATTACCCTTTTACTATATAGGATAGAGGCCTGGTGCATGGGTGGGGGCCAGCTGGTTTGCCCTGAAGGGTGTCCCGGATCAGGGTGGGGGTCCCGCTTGGGTGCCTGGCCATCCTGGATGAGGGGATGATGGCTGTTTGCAGCTGGTCACACCCCCTTCAGGGTGGGGGTCCCCACTGGGCTGCCTGGCCAGTCTGGGTGAGGGGCTGAGGGCCATTTTCAGGCTGGTGGGCGACTGAAGCTCCCAACCTCTCCTTTTTTTCTTTTTTTTTTTTTTATTCTGGGATTTATTTACCTTCTATGGCTGTCACTGGAACTGAGAGCCAGCTTTAGCTCTGAGGTTCAGCTCCAGCTCTGACACCTTGGCTGCTGAAAGCAGGTATCTGGGTTTGTTTGGCTTCCATAACTGAAACACTGTTGCAACTCCAGCTCTGAGGCCCGGCTGGCTGAAAGCAGGTTTCTGGGGTTTGTTTAGCTTCTATAATTGCAACATTGTTTCTTAGAGTGCAGCTCAGAGGCCAGCAGCGGCAGGCGGGGAACCTTGGCTTCCTCCATTGTTGGAGCAAGCAAGCCTCCTGTTTGCTTCAGCTGCCTGGCTGCCGGCCGCCATCTTGGTTGGCAGTTAATTTGCATATTGCCCTGATTAGCCGATGGGAAGCGTGTTGGAGGTACAGATAATTACCATGTTTGTCTATTATTAGATAGGATATATTTTTTTTTTGTATTTTGTTTTTCTATTTATCAATTGATGAACATGGGTTGTTTCTACTTAGTGGCCATTATAGATAGATTTGTGCACATTGAAAGGAAATTGATTAAGTGTCCAGCAGGGTGGGGTCCCTCAGCCTGGCCTGCGGGGATTGGGCAGAAACTGGCTCTCTGACATCCCCTGAGAGGTCCCAGAGTGTGAGAGGGCAGTTCTCAGGTGACACACCCCAGAATTGAGCTCCCCCCTCTCTGGTTCCAGGGTGGGTCACCTGAGAAACGCCACTGCCAAGTCACCACAGCTCAGTAGCTCCTGCGTTGAGCATCTGCCCCCTGGTGGTCATTGCACATGATTGCTACCGGTCGGACAGGTGCTTAGCCTTGAATGGGATTTTTTTAAAGTACTATTTTAAAAGTTGCAAAAAAACCTTAACATTAACAAATAAATAAATAAATAAAAGTTGCCACTTTTACTGGGTGGCTTATACAGATACATAAAATTTCATGGAGCCTGATATAATAATCATTAAATGCCCCCAAAGCTATCAGAAATCTCAAAGAATATAGGACTAGGGCTATAGGTTTCTAAATGTTTCTTGTCTTATTAACATCTTTTTTTTCCTACACCTAAATATCCATGCCCAATCTAATTTGCATGGTTAGAGTGCAGGCTATAATTGTGGCATATTTATGAGTATTATGAATGATTACCCTCGTCATCCTCAGCTCCCGAGTCTGGTGCTTCGTTATCCTCCTGATCAAATCCATCTAAGTAGGTGATTTGCTGCAGCAGTTCAAAAATACTCTCTCTATAATCTTCTAGGGTTGTGATCTCACAGTTAAACAAGTCAAGACTTTTTAAATTTTTAAGATTTTGCTGGAAAAATAAGAAGTTAAAACTTACAATCAAGATGTAAAATATCTTGTTATTTTCTTTTAATTCATGAACCAGAAAACATGTACTTGAAATCAGAGGATGAGTTTTGAATCTTTAAAATTTTATAATGAAGGGTTATTATATCAAACACAGCCAATTCTCTTAACGAAGCACTGGCATGCTAACTCCACAGAAGTAGGAACTTGGTTGTGTTCAACTGCTGTGTCTCCAGCACCTGGCTTAGTGCCTTACGTATAAAAGGCACTCAATATATTTGTTGAGCGGATCCACGCACAAATAGGCAACAATAATAACATGTTTTGTTTAAATCCACAAACTTACTTCCAACAATTTCAACCTCTTCACAAACTTTTTAAAAATCAGAGCAACAATTTTTACTTTATCTTCTTTTCCTTTCATCATACTAGGAAACAAATGAGCAAATAATGAAATAACAAAAACAAAAAAAAAGTCAAGAAGAAAGGAAAAGGAATAGAATTTAAGAAAATACTAGAAATTTTCAGACCAGATATTCAACTCTAAAAGTTGATAAAATAAATTTCTCATGGGTTTAAAAAATTATCTTAATGTTTTACTTAAAAGGAAAAGAAAGTCTTAACCATCGACCAGTGATTTTCAACCAGTGTGCTGCAAGAATTTTTAAAACATGCAATACCTGACTAGTCAGGGGCACTCAACTCTTTTCCCCTTAGATTGTCAAATAAAAAATGACAACACGCCCTAGCCAGTTTTGCTCAGTGGAAAGAGTGTCAGCCTGTGGACCAAAGGGTCCCGGGTTTGATTCTGGTCAAGGGCACGTACCTTGGTTGCAGGCTCCTCCCCAGCCTGGGTCCTGGTCAGGGCTTGTTCAGGAGGCAACCAATTGATGTGTTTCTCTCACATTGATGTTTCTCTCTGTCTTTCTCTCTCCAACTCTCTCTAAAAATCAATGGAAAAATATCCTCAGGTGAGGTTTAAAATAAATAAATAACAACACAACACTAGCCATCTGGTGTGAATGCCCTGTCTTGAACCATAAATACGTATGTCATATAATAGAGTTGCATCTTATTGGTCACATCACATAAGGTTGTATCTGATTGGTTAATTCTTGATACCAGAAATTCTGTATAGGCACTTGATTTTTTTAAAAAGTCACTTTGGAGCAAAAAGGGTAGGTAATTATTTTTTTTCTGTAAATCATTCAAAATGCTATCTTTTTTTTTGGTCAGATCAGCAAAACATATATTTTTTGGTGTGTAGCAGAACTTTAGTAATTATTTTATGTGTGCCATGAGATGAAAAAGGTTGAAAATCGCTGATCTAGATAATAACATATAAGAAATTCAGAAGTTTCACAAGAATGAAATAGAAATCAATAGGATAACCTCTCCTGATATTTAAATATTTGTATAAATATTTATCAGTATTTTTCACAATAAGCAGATAAAATTTTCTGATATATATGAATTTTCACTTTTATTCTGATAGGTAATATCAATGAAAATTGTTATTCAAAGTACTATGAATATATCTATTTTTTAGTAATTAAAAACCATCTGAAATTTTTCAATGTTTTCAATAGTTTTCTAATATTGGTGTCTCATTTGAGAGTGACTGATTAAACTTTATTGTACCTTCCTATCTTCTTTTACTTTTTTCCTTCCAGCATGGTATTCATTGTATGCCTTTTAACCTTCTTATTTATATTCTTTTTTTATATATATTTTTATTCATTTCAGAGAGGAAGAGAGAGGGAGAGAGAGATAGGAACATTAATGATGAGAATCATTGATTGGCTGCCTCCTGCACACCCCCTACTGGGGATCAAGCCCACAACCCAGGCATGTGCTCTTGACTGGAATTGAATCCGTGACACTTCAGTCCGCAGGCTGGCACTCTATCCACCAAGCCAAACCGGCCTTATTTATATTTTTGTATTCTACTGATGAATAAAAGAAAAATATTTGTCTACTAAATAAATGAGCAATATTTTTCTGTTCCTGCTAATATATATATTTTATATATATAATATGCATATGTGTTATATATATGGTATCCCCAAAAAGATGTATATACACTTTAACAGCTGATAGCTCAATTTTGAAAATAAAATGTGTTTTAATAAACACTGCCTTTATAATTATTCAAAGTGTGTGTATACTTTTTTTTTTGGATACCCTATATATGCAAATCTCAGAAAATTCAACCAAAAAAGCAAGCCCAGAGACAAACCTTTCCACTTACCAGAGCTTCTAGTGCACTGAGATCTTTTATTTTGTTTCCACTCAGATTGAGGTGGGTAAGATTAGGACATTTCTCTGCCAGGACTTCCAACCCTCCAGAAATTCTATTGTTACTAAGTTCCAACTATATATTCAACATGGGGAGAAAACAAAGAATGGTGAAGACTTAGGACAGATCAAAGATTTTAAAAATATATCAATTTGACAGAAAGCATTTGTCATTCTCTCTGGCTTCAAGACTGTCACAAGTAATTAATTTCCAAATTCCACCTACAACCACCAAAGAGTATGTTAGAACTCCTGTATGGATGGATGCTTGATTTATGATGGGTTATATCCAGATAAACCCACCATTGTAAGTCAAAAATATTGCAAGTCAAAAATGCATTTAATGCCCCAGTCGGGTTGTTCAGTGGTTAGAGCATCAGCCTGCAGACCAAAGGGTCACAGGTTTGATTCCCAGTCAAGGGCACACACCTTGGTTGCAGCTCAATCCCCAACCCAGGTCAGGGCACATGCGGCAGGCAACCAATTGATGTGTCTCCATCACATAGATGTTTCTCTCTCTCCCCTCCTCTCTCTCTTTCCCCTCCCTCCCTCCATTCTCTCTAAAAATCAATGGGAAAATATCCTCACATAAGGATTTTTAAAAAATGCATTCAATACACCTAACCTAGCAATATCATAGCTTATGCCTAGCCTATCACATGCTCAGAATACTTACACTGATTAGCCTATAGTTGGGCAAAATCAGCTAATACAATTAACATATACACTGTAGGATATCAGTTGTTTACCCTCATGATCTCGTGTCTGACTGGGAGCTGTGGCTCATTGCCACTGCCCAGCATCACGAGAGAGTAACATACCCCATATTGCTAGCCCAGCAACAGATCAAAATTCAAAACTGGTGGTGCAGTTTCTACTTAATGCATATTGCTTTCACACCATCATTAAGTCAAAACGTTGTAAGTCAAACCACTATAAGCCGGGGACTGTCGGCATAATGTCTCCTAATGTAGGTTTGGTTCCAATTGTTTAACAGTTGGATTTTATGTTTCAGAGGAAAACTTTAAGCTGAAAATGTTAAGTTGAAATTCATACCATAAAGCAACTCATTATTAAATATAAATTTCTAAAAGCAAGCCCCAGCTGGCATGGCTCAGTGGTTGAGTGTCGACCTATGAACCAGGAGGTCACGGTTCAATTCCCCGTCAGAGCACATGCCTGGGTTGCAGATTTGACCCCCATTGTAGGGTGTGCAGGAGGCAGACGATCAATGATTCTCTCTCATCATTGATGTTTCTATCATTCTCTCCCTCTTCTCCCTTCTTTTCTGAAATCAATATATATAAAATAATTTTATAAAAGCAATTATTACAGCTGATTCCAAAATTCTACATAGCCCTTTTGCTTACCTCTAGAAACTTAGCACCTTTTAGTTAAAAGGCAGAATAGTAAAAATAAAGTAAAATAAATAAGGCAGAATAGTTATTACATTTGGTAAAAAAACAAACACAGAATAGCTCTTGGCATTCAAATCATAATGCTTTGATGCCTAATGTCAACTTACCTTTCGAAGTTTATTTAAGTTGGGAAGCCGGGCCAGTGAACTTAGTTCCACATTAATCATACTCAGAAACTCTAGTTTTTTAAAAGTATCATTCAGGCCCTCAATTTCCCCATTGACACAACGGCAATTATCAATGACTAACTGTGTCATCTGTAAGAGAACAAGAATGATTCTTCAGTTTGCAGTCTGTTTAGCAAAAGACCTGGGGTCCAGACACTCTGGAAAAGTGAATATTAAAACCACCAATCCCTTTTTTCATTCTCCAAAAATACTGAAATACAGTCAACCAGTCATCACTGTAAGTTAACCCTTTACATTTAAACCTGGACTAAGAAGTTTAATGCCTGCTTCAAATCACTGATGAACTAAAAAAAAAAAAAAAACCTTTGAAGAAAGTTCCCATGTGAAACTTGTTTCCAACTCTGACGAGAACTCTCAACATCAGGGCATATATTTATGCAGGGAGGGGACACCTAGGCTCCTGGGAAAGGATGCGAGTGAGCTGCCTGAAAACAGTAGAGAGAAGCAAGGAAATTATTTTTTCACTTTTTTTTTTTTTTTTCAGTTTAATCCCCCTTATCTTTGGTTGATAAATGCCACCAAAACTCAAAAATACCATGTTACCCTCCATGAAGAAATGTTAGAAAACTCCTCCTGAGACAACCCAACTTTTGGATGTTATTTGTTCTAATATCAAGGCCAAACAATACCACGCAGAATGATACATCGTTGACAGAATGTTTATTTCTCCCTGCCATCTTGGCAGCATTTTTGTGACTTTCTCCCCATGCCTGGGAGGGGGCAGGTGGTGGCTGGATCCTCTGTTAGGCCAGAGCTGTAGAACAAAACTTTCTGCTGTGGGCCTGCCCGGACTTAATCTTAAGGGGGAGGCGGAAGACCCTGCCTCTCCATTCCCAAAGGTTCCAAGTGTTCTGAGCGCTCAAATTAGCAACAAGGAGTGCCACCTTCTCTCCTTGAAAGTGTCTTCGCCATAATGACTTCGCTGAGCAGAGAAGAAGGCATCATGATCTGTTTAGAGAGGAGGAAGCCGAGCCCCAGAGGGTGAGAATGACCTGCCTGGGGTCAGACAAAACGTGGTAGCGCCGCAGGGCGGAGAGGACTGCTAGGTTTGGTGTCAGAACACCGGTTCCTCCACCCGAATAACTGCATGGCCCCGGGACGCCACTAACACAGTCCACCTCCCCAGCGTGTCTGGAGGAGTCGAGTGAGTAGCAAAGGGGAACGGTGCTTTGTAAATTGGGAAGAGCTATGCAAACGCACGACCGTTATTACACCATAGGGGAGGAAGGAGAGGCTGCAAAAAGCAACATCCGGGCACTCGCCAAAACTGGAAAGGAAATTACTTCCATGGCCCTAGGTAGGAGCGTGGGGGAGGGGTGACCGCGATGGGTAGGTAAAAGGATGGAGGGGGTATAAGTCCACTTGCCCATCCCAGGCCGTAAAGGCGCATTCCTAACGTGTGCTTCTGGGATGCAGCTTTTTAAGTTTGTTTTTTCCTGCAGCCCCCAAAGAGTCGGTGCTGGAAAACGTCCAGTTATCTCTGATAATAGCGGCCGCTTCCTCCTCCCGCCACCTGCCAATTCCGGGAAACAAACTTTTACAAGTGCTCGCCGCCGCCGGACAGCCCTGCCCAACTTCACGCCGGTGCACAGCACCGCGGCCACCGCTGAGAGATGACATCCCTTCGGCCCGACTCCGGCGTAAACTCCACTCTTGCAGTTACGGCTCTCGACGCCCGCCTCCGGGACCAGAAGCGCGAGGTTCCCTCTGGCACCCGCCCCACTCTGGCGACCTGCCTCTCCGGCCGACGGAAACCCCACACGGGGCGGGGACTCCCCCCGGAAAAACGGGGTCGCCTCCCAGTGCCGCCTCCGCCCGGGCCGGGATGGGCTCGGTAACGCCGGAGAGGCACCCTCGGGAAGGAGGCGGAAACGCCTCCCGCCCGACCCCCCAAAAGTTGACCGCAACCCCGCCTCGCGTGGCCCCTCCCAACCGCGTCCCTTTAAGGCGACAGCGGCGAGCGCGCCTCATTTCGTTCCGCCGAACCCATCTTTGAGGCACAAAACCCCTACGACCCAGGCGTTGAGTTTGGTGAAACCGTCTCCGGGGATCAAATTCGGGGTCGCGGCCGCCACGACGAGACGAGCCGAACGCCGCGGGGAAGGAGGCTGCTCCTCGGGTCCCCGCCCACCGCCGATTACAGCGACGAGTCCCCCAAACTTCCCCGCGGCCGGAGCGCCGGCCGCTGACCCACATTCCGCCCGCGCGGTCGGCGCGCGCTTCCCCGGGGAGTGGGCGCCGCCGGCGGGGGTCGCCGACCTCGGGAGCGACCCCGGGCTGCGCGGGCGCGACGTCGGCGGGCGCCCGGGGGCCTCCGGGCCGGGCCGCCCCTCCCCCCCAAAAAGAGGGCAGCACCGAGGAAAAGTTGGACTAACTTCTCGGGCGACGATGGCTGCGGAGGGGCGAGTGGGACTCGGGGTCGCGCCCACGCCGCCTGTCCCCGGAGGAGCAACTCGGGGAGCCGAGCGGCCCGCGACACCCTGCTTCCCGCCCCCACGCGGCCAGGGCGCCGTAAAGGAGAAGGGGACTAAGCCCCCAGGCACACACAAAAACGCCCCTAGAAACTTACACCCTTCGCCATTTTAAGTAAAAGATATATTAATGATTTAAACTTCAAATTGAATATTTCCTGGGGTTGGGGTTAATTCATGACCCCTCCCCGCGCACCCACCCGGGCCCCCCCGAAACCCGATCCTCCGAACACTGGCTGGTGGGGAAGGGGAGGGGGCTGAGTCATCTCACCTCCTCCGGGGCTCGGTTCCTCAACTCCTGGTTAATCCTCGTCTTCATCTCCATGTCCTCCTCCTGCTCTCCGCTCCTCCTCTCCTCCGTTACCCGGTCCTGCCTTCCCCACTGCCCCCAACCCTCAAATTGTAAAAGATTTGGAAATGAATGAAAAGAAACGCAAATATAAACGCCCACCACCAGCAGATAGGTGTGGGGGAGAAAGAGAATGGCCAATGGAGTCCAAGGAGTTGGGACTCTAACTCGGCTGCCAGCACCTCCTTGTCCACACACTCGCGCGCGCACTCACATGCACACACGCGCACACACACATACACACACCCGCAGTTCCTTCCCCTTCAATGGCTGCTGAGAGACTGAGCCTCCATGACACGACACCGCCAACCCCCTGGCCCACACCCCACCCACCTCCCGAGTGCATTGGTTAATGCTTCAACATCGCACTCTTCCATTGGACAGCACAAATGTCTATCAGCCTCGGGGGCGGGCCCGAACCAGCCAAGCCGTGTCTATTAGCTACAACCAAGCGCGCAGTTAACTCCGATAGGTCCAGGAGGGTGTTCGTCCTGGGAAATTATTTTGAATCCCACTAGCCCCCCTACTTTTCTTTGTGTGATTGGCGCGCTTTCTCTAGGCTCTCGGGCGATTCTGATGCTTGCTGGGTTTGTTTGGGTGTTTTGATTTGTTTTCTTCTTTATGTCCTTAGTGTTAAAGGGAGAAGGAAAGCATCCGTCTTCCGTGCCCAAGATGCGAGATTGGGTATTCACCACACAGCACGCACTGGTTCTTGGCGATTTGAAAGCACAGCTCCTGCTTTGTAGGCAAGGTGCACAGCAACATGCACGCACATCACATAAAAAGCATGCCTTCCTGGCACTGCCCTGCTGGGTCAGGCTTCTGGTGCAGAACCAGAGGCGGGATAAAAATGGTATTTTAGCCCTAGCCGGTTTTGCTCAGTGGATAGATCATCAGCGGGCGGACTGAAGGGTCCTCGGGTTCAATTCGGGTCAAGGGCACATGCCTGGGTTGGGGGCTGGATCCCCAGTGGGGAGCGTACAGGAGGCTGCGATCAATGAGTTTCTCTCATCATTGATGTTTCTATCTCCCGCTCCCTGCCTCTCTGAAATCAATAAAAATATATTGATTTTAAAATACCATGTTAATAAATGGTATTTTAACTTCCACCATGATGGCGCCTGACAAATTCTGCTGGCGTCACCCTGATAATTCCCTGAGATCCTGCCCCACCACAAAGATTGCCGGTGTTTCTATCTCATCCTTCCTTCCTCTCTCTCTAAAAATCAATAAAAATAGCCTGGCCAGCATGGCTTGGTGGTTGAGTGTCGGCCTATGAACCAGGAATCGGGCAGTCACGGTTCAATTTCCAGTCAGGGCATATGCCCGGGTTGCGGACTTGATTCCTAGTGTGGAGCTTGCAGGAGGTAGCTGGTCAATAGATTCTCTCTCATCATGGATGTTTCTGTCTCTCTCATCTTCTCCGAAATCAATAAAAATATTTTTTAAAAATTTTAAATTAAAAAAAAATAAATACTTTAAAAAATATCCTCAGGTGAGAATTAACAATAACAAAAAGGACCACATACTGTACATTATAATACATAGACTTTCTGGAAAGGGCAAAATTATAGGGTCAGAAAACAGATCAGTAGTGACCAAAGGATGAGTGTGGGAAGAGAAGCTGACTATGAAGGGACACAAAGGAATTATGGCAGGGAGGGTGTCAGGTGATGAACTGCTCTACATCTTGATTATGATGGTGTCACACAATTGTATGCATTTGTCAAAATTCATAGAACTGTACACTAAAAAGGGTGGATTTTACTGTATGTAATTTATACCTCCACAAACTTTATTTTTAAAAAAGGAATGAATCTGAACATTTTTTCCCAATAAAAAGGTGGGGTGTTTTTTTTTTAACTATATACCCTCTTGCAATTCCACTTTAAAAAACAATTGGCCGAAACTGGTTTGGCTCAGTGGATAGAGCGTCGGCCTGCGGACTGAAAGGTCCCAGGTTCGATTCCGGTCAAGGGCATGTACCTGGGTTGTGGGCACATCCCCAGTAGTGGGTGTGCATGAGGCAGCTGATCGATGTTTCTCTCTCATTGATGTTTCTAACTCTCTATCTCTCTCCCTTCCTCTCTGTAAAAAATCAATAAAATATATATTTTTAAAAAACAATTGGACGGATGTGTAAATGTACGTGAACAAGAATATTGTGATTGAAATATTGTTAGTTATAGGTAAAAACTGGGGAGGGGGGACCCTAAGAGTCTGAAGGCAAAGGATTGGTTCAATACATCAGTTACTTCTATATCATACTATGCAGCTTAAATTGATGACAGGGATTTATATTTTTGACATAGAAACATGTTCACAAAATAATGTTAGAAAGGTTATAGACCAATTATGTATATAATATGGTCCTATTTTTATAAAAACAATATTTATACACACAAAATATATGCATTCGGATGTAGCTTCACAGAAAAAAAAGTTTGTAAGGTATCAGAATACTAACAGTGGTTATCTCTAGTTGTGAGAATTTTGAGTGATGTTATTTTTTTGAATCTTCTATTTTCCCTAATCAGCTATCACTTCTATAATTTAAAATAATAATTAAGGAAAAGTGACAAATCATTTCCAATATCAGATGTTCTCTACCGTTCTGGTGCCAACTCCAAGGAACTGTTTCTTTTTTATTGTTTTAAAAAAGGAGCAAAAGGGCCAATCCTTCCCAAAGTGCATGGATTTATAACCAACTTGTGAGAGGGTTACTTAAATAAAATACATGTGATACATGAAATAAAATGCAAGATGAATGGTAGAACAATGGGGAGAATGCAGGGTCTGTGAGCGCATTAATAAGTGATTTATGAATCATTGAATAAAGCCAATGTAACCTTTAAAAAATTTTGCATTTCACTTTTGCAGGTGTTGCCTTAGAAATTACTTGAAGCTTTAAAACAAGGTGTATTAGTTTTTGTATTTGTACTTCCTCCTCAGAGCAATGCCTCCTTGGCTACTACAGGGAATTAACTGAGCCAGAATTGCCCTCTATTTCCTTTTATTTATTTATTTTTATTTACTTTTTTGTTAATCCTTACCTGAGGATATTTTTCCGTTGATTTTTAGGGAGAGTAGAAGAGAAAGGGAAAGACAGAGAGAAACATCAATGTGAGAGAAACACATCGATTGGTTGCCTCCTGCAGGAGCCCAGACCAGGGTCCTGGATGGGGGAGGAGACTGCAACAAGGTACCTGCCCTTGACGGTAATCGAACCTGGGACCCTTTGGTCCACAGGCCAATGCTCCATCCACTGAGCCAAACCGGCTAGGGCTTCCCTCTATTTTCTTTAAAGATTTTTGTTTTTTAATTATTTTAACACCTTTTGAGTGAGGGGTCAGTCAGAGCCTGATTCTTTGTCCTATTAATATTTCTATGTAACCTCAGCCAAGTGACTTTACCCTTCAAAACCCATATCCTTTTGAAAAATGTATAGATATTTTGAGAGCAAAATGTCAATGAAAGCACAGCAAGCTAGTTCATTATAAGGTTTCAAAGAAATCCAAATCATTTGTCACATTCTGATCTGAGAATAGACTTCTTATTTAGGGGATGATTTAAACCACTAATACCCATCGTCACAAGATTTTGGTGTATTACCCTCTTATTTCTATTCCTATAGCAATTCAGACATAAAGGAAAATAAAGAAAAAATTCTCTTTAACAGAATCTTCAATCAATCGAAAGGAAGTGTTAATGTATTTTGCTTGGGTTGGTACACAATCATCATTTGAGTTAGATGAATGGTAGAGAAGAAAAAGAAAGGGGAGAAGATAGGCAGAATGAGGTGGCCACCAAAGCAGATGGGACAAATAATCACAGTTCTAGGGCGCCATGATATCCTTTGTCCTTCCTCCTTGCAAAGGGAGCCGTTTATCAGCTGTATTAAGAGAATCCGGCCTTGATATAACCTATCATTTGGTGTCACCCTCAGAGACAATGAAGCAGGAGTCTGCCTTCCTTGAGTAGCAATTTTTATGTTCTTACATGTGACTATAGGACCTAGTTATGCTCCCTTCCTGTGGAAAGATTGTTGACATGAGGTCAAGAAAATCTCACTGCTAATTGTCCATCTGCCTTGGTTCCCATAAACACTTTGCTCTACCGCTAATTAGAACTTGTCACCGTTGTATTCCAGTAATTGGGTAAGGTATCTGCATCCCCTAAGAAGTTCTTAAGGGCAGGGATTACATCTGATTAATTTTTTTTTTCTAGGGTCTGGCATGATGCCTAGCGCCTAGAAGTATTCCATATATGTTTATAACTAACGAAGGTATTGTTGCTAAACTCTACAAAAGTGACTGCAAAGAACAATTCGAGATGGCTGGAACCCCTACAAAGAGTGGCAAATCCCCTGCTACCTCTGCTTTTCCAGCTCGTGTGGGGCATTCGTTCTTGTGTGGTGCCTCAGACCAGTAGCCTCAGCATCACACTGAAACCTGTCAGAAATGCAAATTTCTGGACATACCCCAAACTATGGAATCAGAAACTGTGAAAGGGGGAGGCCCAGAAATTTTTACTTTAATAAGCTTTCCAGACGATTCCGGTGCACACTGTCGTTTGAGAAGCAGTGGTACAGGAGGAGGAAGTTCAGTGGTACCTATATCCTTGCTCTGGTTCAGCTTAGCAACTGTATGACAAACCACAGGAAAATCCCTAAATCCCTCAAAACTCAGTCTTTACAAGGTAAATAAGGGAGTTGGAATGACGCCCGAGGATCCTTCTGGCCAAAAATTCTGCGAAAAACCAAAGGTAAAAAAAAAAAAAAAAGGTAAATAAATGTCCCAATGACTAGATTCATTCATTCAATCAGCAAATATTTATGTACCAGGCAGTATTCTGGGCATGGAATCAATGCATGACACAAAAGTACTCCTTTTTAATTAAAGTCACAACATTTCAGACCACAAATTCTTACCTGTCCTCTTTCTACAAGATTCTTATAGTGTATCTGTCCTGCATGTGAACTGGAAAACTGAGAAAATGATCCACCCCTCCCCCAAATTACTTTAATTCTTGGAAACTTTTGTGTTCACCTAAAGGGCTTCAGTACCAATGTGTTAGAAGACAAGGGTGTGATAATAAATGTGAGTATCTACCAAGTTAGACTATTGCTGGTTCTGTATTACTTCACAGAACACAGCTGCTTGCACTTGTAGGAAATCAGATGCTGTCGAATTCTGTCTCCTCATAGATTCTCTGCCCTCCGCGATTAGTTACCACCTGTACTGCTTGAGGAAGTTCCTTTTGATCTGCCTCCCTTCCTCTGAACTCTCATATACAGTGGGGCCTTGACTTACGAGTTTAATTCGTTCGAGACCGAGTTCGTTAAGGAGCTCGTTAACTCAAATTACTCTATCAACTTAATGCAAAAAATCCGCCGAGAGACAGTTGGTATCTCAAAAAACTCGTTAGTCGGGACACTCGTAAGTCAAGGCCCCACTGTACTCGTCATACAAACTCAGAGAACCTAGTGGCTTCCTGTGAGGTGTTTTAGACTATTTGGGATATTTAGTAAGTTTAAATATCCTTTTGTTAAAAAGGGCCTTTGAAGGAAAAACAAACCAAAAACTCGCCACACTTGCACGCTTTTGATTCTGACCTGTTCACATTTCACTACCTTGGAAAGGTCAGGAGATGGCGCCAGAAGGCAGCGGAGTGCCTTGGTTTTTGTAGGGTTTCAGCCAAACCCGGTGTAAGGCAAGGGCTGGAAAGTGGAATTAAAACAAAGGTGCCAGAGTTTGAGTAGCAACTAAGGGGGTGAGAGTGAGAGTGAAGGTGGGGGTGGGGGTGGGGGTGGGGAGGCTTTTTTTCTTAAACATAGAAGGCTCCTCTTGACATCTATCCCAAAGCAGCCTGGTGACGTCGGAAATACCCACATGGGAGCCAAAGATCAAAATAAAGGCAAGTCTCTGGAGACGGTGCTTCTCTCGTCTAGAAACCAGGCCCTTTGTCCTTTGGGGAAGCACGAGGGCCTAGATGAGCTGCTCCCTCGGAAGTGAGAAAATGCTGAGTTGGGGCTCAGACATCTTTGGGAAACAGTGTTCAATTGTGTAGACAAAATCCCAGAGCCCACCGCAGTGAAACACTTCCCAGAAGGAATCACTCACAAAACATTTTAAATTCAAATTCTAACAAAGTTTTTTTTAAAAAAGTTCATAAACAACCAGGAGGTGGCGCCTGGCGAGACGCACTCCCTGCCTCGGGAGGTGGAATCACAGCCCCAGGCGCTCCCCAGGAACTCCGGTCATTCTGAGCAGGCCCCTTCCTTAGTGCCAAGCAAAAGACTTTCTGCTTTCTTTATTTTCTTTTATTTTTGTTAATCCTCACCAGAGAATATTTTTTCCATTGCTTTTCAGAGAGAGTGGAAGGGGGCGGGGGGAGGGCGGGGAGGAGAAGGAGAAAGAGAGAAACATCAATGTGAGAGAGACGCATGTACTGGTTGCCTCCCACACACGCCCAACCCGGGGGCAGAGAGTGAACCTGCAACCCAAGTATTTGCCCTTGACTGGGAACGGAATCCGAGACCCTTCGGTGCACAGGCCAACCCCAGCCAGGGCTCTGCTTCTTCTTTGCTTTTTTTCCCCTTCTTGTTCCTCTGTGATAACTATCCTCATCCCCAGGAAGTCTAATTTACACTTTACCATCCATTCTTCTTAGATGAGATGTGTGGGGACTTTATGGGAACCTCAAAACAAAAACTTAACTGTAAGTGCCTTGGCTGGTGTTGCTCAATGGATAGAGCAGCAGCCCATGCACGGGGGCGTCGAGGATTCGACTCCGTGTCAAGGGCATGTACGAGGGTTGCAGGTTCAAACCCAGACCGGTTTTGGGGAGCAGTGGGAGGCAACCAATCATATGTCTCTCTCAAATCGATGTTTCTCTTTCCCCCTCCCTCCCTCCCTTCCACTTCCTCAAAAAAAAAAAAAAAATCAATAGAAAAATATATCCTTGGGTGAGGATTAACAATGACAACTTTCCTGCAAGGGAAAAATCATATGGAGGGTGATGAGAGAATTAAAAAGGAAGTGACATCTGCAAAATGGCTTGGCTTTGCAGATCAACCACAGAAAGGCCGGGGCCAGGGGCTCCTGCCTCCACAGGTGCTGATGACCCTGCACAGGCTTTATTCTGTGGGGCGTTTATCCTGCTCCCTTATTCAGCTTCCGCTCCCTTTGCTTTGGCTATTTATTGCTACTTAGCAGGCGCGAGGAGGGAGGGCAGAGGGAGCTCAGATGGGAGCATCCTCCCGGCTGGTGACTGATGAAGGATATGGAGGAGAGAGAGATCGCAGCGTCTGGTCTGAAAGTATCTGGGTTTCCCATTCTCTGATGAAGGACTTCGGGTGTACATTCCGATCGGGATTTCCAGTCCCCTGGGGAGCAAGCAGCAGCAGCCCACATTCCCGACCCGGCCCCGCGCCCAGCTCCCGGTGGCAGGTCTCACTGGGCCCCACGTGTCCTGCTCAGCCCTTTGTTGGGAGGGAAGACCCTGGGCCCCTCTTCCCGCCGGGTCACATGGTCTCCCTGTGCTCCCTCCCCTCTCTTTCTCCGGAGCCCGCCTTTTTTGGTGATGGCAGTGATTGTTTCTAAGGTCTCCCCACCTCTCCTCCTGCCCTGGCCTCCCTGCCAGGGGTTAGTGTCCTTTTCAGTGACAAAAGCCTGCCCTAGATCTGGACTCCCTGGGGAGGGAGGTGCCTGGGTCTGGCAGTTGGAGCCGCTGTCTCCCCATGGTGCTGCGACAGCCCCTCCCCCGCTGGGCATACAAATGGGCTTTATACAACAAACAAAACCCCCACCCCCCACCCAGGCCACACAGGCACGTGGACCCGGGCCTCACCGTGGGAAGGGGGTGGTGACAGGCACTCCAGACAAGTTCTCTTGGCCTCGCTGCTCCTCTTTATTTCCCACAACTCAGGTTTTAGTCCTTGACTTCCTACCCTGAGTCTCCCAACTCCTCCTCGTCACCTGTCTCCTAACTCTGGCCTCTTCCTATTCCAGCGCCGTTCAAATTCTTCAGGAGATTGGGAACGGGTCCTCCCACCATCTGCCCCACGCCACCCAGGGAGCTGCTCCTCAGAGCAGCCAGCCGGGGAATGAGAACCCAGTGTCCCCCTGCGTGGGCTGGATCGAACCCCGAAGCCCTCCTTCCCTGCCCCTCCCCCTCCAGGGGACACCCTTCTGAACAGTGTCTGTGTGGAAAGAGGAGGAAGGAAGAGCTCACCCAGCTGGGCTCCTGAGCCAGGGCCAGGTCTCCAGTGGAACCCGGGGTGCACTCAGCGTGCTCCAGCTCTGAGCAGGGCCAACCTGCATGCCTAATCGGCTATTTAAGGAGCTGTTGGCCAGCAACCCAGGCAGCCCAGCTCCCCACCTATACCCATCCAGAGCCACCTTAAAAGCAGAAGGCAATTGTGAAGTCGCTGGCCAGCAAGTAGAGTGAAGACTGCAGAGGGAGATAAAAGAAAGAGGGCCCAGAGAGAGGGCAGCGAGATTTGTCCTGGGGAACCTCGAAACCAACGGTAGCCGACTGAGAACCAACCACCTGGAAGCCCACAGAGACACAGAGACAGCAAGAGAAAAAGAGAAGAGATAAATACATTCAACTTCAGGACTCTCTCTCTCTCTCTCTCTCTCTCTCTCTCTCTCTCTCTCTCTCCCTCCCCCCCTCTCTCTAATCTGGTCCTCCAGTCTCCAAACTCCCAGTACCTTGTGCTCCTTCTGAGGATACCATCATGTTCTTCACGTTCCTGCTACAGGTGATTTGGATCCTGGCTGCTTTCGGGGGTAGGTACATCTGAATGTCGGTGTCTGCTGATGTCCTTACGCAAGCTTAGCGGGAGGAGGGTGGTTAAGGAAGCCTAGGGGCTAGAAAAATAGTCTCAGTGGTTGGGGGGCACAACAGGGGAGTGGGGAGAAGATCACTTTCCTTCTTTCCCCTCTGCCTTCCCAGCCCTGCTGTTAGTGAGGAGGGGGAAGCTGGGGGCGGGGGGGGGGGGGGGCGGGCAGGATGTGTAAACACACTCTGGAACCTCTGTGCTGGCTACGGATTCTCTCCAGAGCTCTTGCCCCCACTGTCCTCGTCCCAGGCAGCCCTCCTGGCCTGTCTCAGCTACTAACTCCCCCAATTAGGGAGTCAAAGAGCCCTGGAATGAGAAAATAAAAAACTAATGTCAGGGAAGGGTATAGCCTAACCACCGGCCTAACTCAGACCCTGATACCAGCCCATGAACCTCATGGCCAAGGGTCCCTTTGAGTCTGTGGAATGACTAATTTCCCAGTTTTTCCCTAGAAGGAAGTAGCAATGATAGTCAACACAGCTGGGCCCTTTACAGTTTACAAAGGCCTTTCAGGGGCCCCAGGGACATGAGGAGGGACTCTTGGGAGAACAGGCTGAGGTGCTTCGGGGGGGCGTCCCCAGGACCCCACCCTCATTTTTGTGTCTCCTGTGCCTCCCGCAGTACCCAGCACCCAGCAGGTGTGTGATTGGGTCGTTGGAAGAACACGGTGATGAGGGTTGTCTGGAGAGCACGGTGGCACAGAGAGGATGGTGGGGGAGCCAGATGCAGAGCAGCTCACTGCATCCGAGGAGAGAGAAAAACGGGAAAGTCCTCAGGAAGCGATGTAAAATGAGTGTGTGAGGACTTGGTGGAGGGGAAGGGCCAGGCGGCCCCTGCCCAGAGCCAGGGTTTCCAGTTGTTAGGACGTCCCGCTGAACTGGTGAATGGAGGCTGCTCTAGCCTCCAGTGGGCGGCTTTTCACTGTTGTCTGAACCAAGGGATGGGCTAGCGGAAGAACCCAAGACTGAGATCAAGGATATCTTAGAAGTCTGAGGAATTTAAGGGAATAAGAGAGAGAAAGGAAGTTAGGATTTTTCTCCAAAGTTTCTAGCCATTTGAATAATGCTGACGGAACCTGCAGGGAGGGCTCGCTTTCCCCCTGGAAGCAATTTGGCTCTGGGTGCGGTGAGGGCTGGGCCAGCAGACCCCCTGCCTGTCAGCCCCAGACGGGACTGCACGCGAGCCTGGCATGTGACCCAGCTGGCAGCTCTCTTTCCCACACACAATGCTCCACTTTCATCCTGTCCCTGCCAGCCTGGCTGCCTGTGCCCACCCACCACCCTCCGTGTAGAGTGGACCCTGGCCTGACTCCCGCCTTCCCTAGCCATCTGGGAATCTGGGGACCAGAGGCTCCTGGTGATGGGGGACGTTTCCTTTAGAGTGACTGGAACCAGAGCAGGAAGCTAAATGTTCACTGCCCGCTCAGTGCTTTGATTTGAACAATGCCCTTCTCCCCTCAGTAACACTGTCCCCTCCTCTGAACTTCCTTTCCCTCCCTGTTCATCTCTTTCCTCCAAACCCCCTGCCCACTCATCTCACCCCGATCTTCTCAGTGTTAGACTGGCTTGGCACAGGCTGGGGAAAAGTGAGGGTTGGGTGGACTGCTCATTTGGATCCAGGTTAATTTTAGTCTCCCGGCTTTATCTCTTTTCATTTCTCCTCCCCCTTTACGCAGCAGCAAGCACAGGCACAGCCTGGCTGGTGATTTTAAATAGGCACCTGACCTTTCCGACCTTTCCACTGAGGTGTCCAGTTTCAGGCCTTCCTATGGGAAGTGCTGGAGTGGAGGGAGGAGGAGGAGGGAGGAGGAGGAGGGAGGAGGAGGAGGAGCGAGCAGAGAGGGAGGTGGAGGGTACAGATGCCCCAGAGGGCCCTGCCCCAGGCTGTAACTCATATTACTCTGCCTTGCAGATGAACACTGGACATATGAGGGTGAGCTGAATCCAAGGCCTGCTACCTACACTGATTTCTCCTCTCACACGGGGACCTCTTCACCTGGCAGGAAGATTTATGTCGTACGGCTCTGCTTTAGCTTTTCGCCCTAGCTCCTTTCCTTCCCCACCACCCCAGGTCCTAGGTTTTGGATATGTGACTCCTAGACCTTGTTCGAATCATCAAATCCCACACCTCCTGACTCGGCAGAAAAGCCAGTTACGTCCTCCGTTTGTGGGATGGGGGAGTTGGAGTGGAAAGAATATTGGATAGGGCCCTGACCGGTTTGGCTCAGTGGATAGAGCGTCGGCCTGCGGACTGAAGGGTCCCGGGTTCGATTCCGGTCAAGGGCATGTACTTGGTTGCGGGCACAGCCCCAGTAGGGGGTGTGCAGGAGGCAGCTGGTCGATGTTTCTCTCTAGATGTTTCTAACTCTCTATCCCTCTCCCTTCCTCTCTGTAAAAAATCAATAAAATATATATTAAAAAAAAAAGAAAGAATATTGGATAGGGAAAATGAACCATGAGCTTAGCTGCCAATTCACCTCCTACCTCTCTATCCTAATCGATTCTACCCCCAACCTGCATCTGGAACTGGGACAGAACTTGAGGTCAGGGGTGAGGCACAGAATGGCAGGATTGTTTGTGATCCTGGTGGAGGTGGAATTCAATTCCTTTGAACTTCTGATTAATAACAAGTCCAGAGTCGATGCAAGGTCCAGGGTGAGAGCAAAAAGCAAATGAGGAAAAGCCCTATAGAGACCCTGCCTCTCGGGGACCCTTTTATGTCCTGTTTTCCTGCTTCTACTCCCCTCCCTGAGAGGTTTTATCCAGCCCCTCTTTCTCTCAGTGAGCTTTCTTGTCCTCAAACTACAGGTAAGTAAAACCCACGACCCCCATCTATCAGGAAAGCTGGGGGTCAGCCCTGCCCCGGGGGAGGAGGAAGAAACAGAAGCATCGGGCCCAGCAGGGGCTCCTGCCTCACCCAGCTGAACACAACGGGGTCTTCACCTGGGGTGGGAGGACACGCATTTCTGCCTCTACACAGATGTGTAACTTGGTGGGGTGATGGCTGGAGGGCAGGACAAATATCTGTGGTAACTTCCACCAGGCCCACATGGTCAAGACCACTGGCCGGCCTCTTTCCCTGAGTGTGGAGGCAATGCCCAGTCCCCCATCAATATCGAGACAAACGGTGTGACTTTTGACTCGGACTTGTACGCTCTGCAGCCCCACGGATACGACCAGCCTGGCACCGAGCCTCTGGAGCTGCACAATAACGGCCACACAGGTAACGAGCCCAGGCTCTAAGCAAGGGACCACGCTGGCTCTGACCTTACAGTCAGGGGAGAAGCGTTCTCCCAACTTCTGAATCCCAAAGCTGCTTCCAGAAAGGTGGAGATGTGAGAATGGGGATGAGGCTCCTGGAGCAAAAGTGGGAGCGGAATGTCTATGATCAAGCTCTCTGGGTGGATTAGTCTAACACCATCGACTTGATCTTCAGTGAGAAAGAGGTGCTAGAAAAGCAGTGGCCCACGGGAAGAACTGGGTGCTGTTGGTGAAGGAAGACTGAGAAGGCTGGCCAAGTCTCCCAAGGATTGGTGGCAACCCAGGGGCGGGGATGTGTCCACACTCCTCTACCAACCCGAGCTCTCGCTCTCTTTCCCTCACAGTGCAACTCTCTCTGCCCCCTACCCTGTATCTGGAGGGACTTCCCCGGAAATATGTAGCTGTCCAGCTCCACCTGCACTGGGGTGAGAGAGGATCCAAGATGGGGTCAGAGCACCAGATCAACAGCAAAGCCTCGGCTGCAGAGGTACCAGAGAGCGAGGCTTGAACTAGCACGTGGTGACAGGCAGGGTCGGCACCCGGGAAAGGAGGGCCTGGAAACTGGCAGAGTCACAGGTGGAGGATAACGCCGACCTGTGGGCAGATCTGGGGCTGGAAGTGGGGGTGGTGGCGGCGGAGGTCAGAGCCTTTGGGAGTGGGTAGTGGAGAAAAGATGAAATGATCCGATTCCCTCCCCCCTCAGCTCCACATCGTGCATTACGATTCTGATTCCTACAACAGCGTGGGTGAGGCTATGAAGAGCCCTCAGGGCCTGGCTGTCTTGGGCATCCTCATTGAGGTTAGTGGCCCCCACTGCCTTCTAGGTCTCTCTTCACTCCCTCTGCACCTCTCAGTCCTATTCTGCCCATGTCTGTTGTTGGTCTCCCTCCCAAGGCAAGTGAGCAACCACTCTGACCATTTATTTTCTAATGAATGTCTTACTCCAAACATGGACTCATGCCAAACTCTCCGTTTCCAGGTGGGTGAGAATGAGAATCCAGCTTATGAACACATTCTGAGTCGCTTGCATGAAATCAGGTATAAAGGTGAGCCCTAAAAATCTATTTTAGGACAAAGTGAGATTAGACGTCAGGGAAATCCCTCCCTCCCCCACTCCCCCCGCAAAATAAATAAATAAATGAATACTAAGAGGCCAGAGATGAGGGAGTGAGGTAGCAGCAGGAATTCTGCTTCCGGGCACCCTATCTAGGGAAACCAGAGCTAGGGTGCAGCCGGAGGGTGATCCCAGTCCGTTCTCCCCCAGGTCAGAAGACCTCAGTGCCTCCCTTCAGCGTGAAAGAGCTGCTCCCCCCAGAGCTGTCACAGTTTTTCCGCTACAATGGCTCGCTCACCACACCCCCCTGCTACCAGAGTGTGGTCTGGACAGTCTTCAGTCAGAAGGTCCAGATTTCAGCGGGACAGGTGAGTGGTGGGGAGATGAGGCAGCAAAGCCACAGCTGTAACCCCAGACCCTTTCCCACACCTAAGTGACACTCTCCTGTAACCCCACTCTTCTAGCTGGAAAAGCTTCAGGAGACACTACTCTCTAGAGAGAGGGAGCCCGCTCAGGTCCTGGAACAGAACTACCGAGTCCCACAACCTCTCAATCAGCGAAAAGTCCTTGCTTCTTTCAACCAAGGTGACTGTACAAAGCTCGGGAAAGGAGGGGGGAAACTGGGGTTCTCCATGGCAGGAACTAGGGAGCCCCTGGAAGGAAAAGAAGGCTAAGAGGGTAAGGGTTTCCAGACTCACTTGGACTGGGAACCAGGCCCCAACCCTCAGTGGCCAGGTGACCTCCCCAAGTTACAGGGGCAAGCTGGGACGGGGCTCTGACACCCCACTGACCCAAGTTTCCTTTCCTTACAGACGAATCCCCGTATACCACAGGTAAGGCACCCTGCCCAGTTACGGGGAGAAGGGAAGGGCTCAATATCTATGTCAGTCTTAGGCTGACACCCCCCATCTTTCTCTCTCCCAGGTGAAATGCTGAGCATAGGAGTGGGAATCTTGGTTGGCAGCCTCTGCCTTGTGGTGGTTGTTTATTTCATCGCTAAGAAAATCCAGTGAGGCCCTACTTCCCATTCCTCTAGTCCCTTCTTTCCTACTGAAAAGCATTCTCCTAGTCCACTTGGCTGTCTCTCCTAGTACACCAGTCATGTCCATTCCCTGTTCCAGGAAGAAGAAGTTGGAAGATGAGAAGAGTGTGGGATTCACCTCAGCACAAGCCACGGAATAGACTCCATCTCGAACATCATGGACTCCTAGGTCATACCTGTCAGGGAGCGTCTAGAATGGGAGACGGGGACTGGCCAGAAATACAAACCCCTCCTTCCTCCAGACAGTCATGGACTGGCTCTCAGTCGAGAAAGAACTTCAGTCTCTCAAAACATATAGGAGATGAGGAGACCCCTACATTGATAACGCAGAGGGCACACTGTGTTTGGTTGCAGGGGAAGTTGGGAATGTGACCCAAATTCCCCCACCCCCTCTCCTTTATGGCTCTTTCCCTAGATACGGGCAGGATATCCCCTCAGGAAAAAGGGTTGCTGTTGTGGGGGTTATATTTTTGCTCAATATATTTGAAAATTAAGGTTTCTGACCCACCTCTGGCTTTACCGTTGGGACTCTTGAGTGTGGGAGAGTTCCTTAATCCCTCAGGTGGCAGAGGTAGGCAAAGGATAGGGAAAAAGAAGCATGTGTGAGTAACTTCTTTTACCCCGATCCTCGGAGAGACCCTAGAAAATGCTTAACCCAAAGTTTCTGACATGTTAAACCACCAGCCCATATTTCTGCCCTTGCACCAAACCTAGGTCAGGCGGGGATCGCAGGTGCCAAATTAGGAAGAGAGTTGCACCAGAGACGTGAGAGGACAGGAATCTCAACTAATGTTACCCCTTCCTTCAAAGGCACATTCCCCCACAATTATAAAGTCCTTTTTATTAGTCAAAATCACAGTCACCTTGATTAAAAGGATGGGACACGCCATCCTCAGCAGAAAATGATACAGTTTATAGAAAACCTCCCCACCCCACCCCCATACAGTCCCAATTAAAAACTAGAAAAAAATCTTCCCTCCTTCCCTACGATGTCATGGTAGGCTGGCTCCTCCAGTGGCACTGTAGCTCCAGAGTGGGCCAGCTCACCACAGCACCCTCCACTTCACCTTGGGGAGAGGAGGGATGCTGGTGGTCAAGGAGGTTAAAACATTAGTTCCAGTAATACCAGTTCCCAAACATGCATTTCCTTTCCTATCCCCCATGGGACCATGGAGAATAGGGGACAGATAGGAGCCCAGCTAGAAGGAGCAATTTGAGGAGGTTAGGAGAAGTCCAACATACCTCCTCCCTTTTCCTTCTCAAAAAAAAAAAAAAAAAAAAAAAAAAAAAGAGGAAAGAAAAAGGCAGTTTTGGGTCTTTATCACGCCAAAAATGGTTCCCCTCAGACCTGAGAAAAAGACCAAGAAGTCCAGTCTGGGGCGGGGATACTGGGAAACTCAGAGCTCATCTAACCTTGCGCCGCCAATAATTTCACCTTCATGGTGATGGCTAAGCTAGGCCCCTTTTCTCGGCCACCTGCACTGTCCAGAACTGGAGATGGAGAAATACAGAGCGAGGAGATCAGGGGAGCACCCCAGGCACAGGGGTTCCCCCCCCAAGGTTCCCTCAATCCTCGGGTGGGATGCGCAGGGCAGAATACACCATCACCTGACTGTCCTCCTGCCGTCGGCCTGCAGAGGGGAAGGGAGGTGAGTCTTGGGCAGGGTGGAAGCAGAGCATTGACACATGGAAAGTCCTGGGTAACAAAGGGGTCCCCAGATGGTGGGGATAAGTGCAGGCTCAAACCCACCAGTCACTGACTGGCTGACCCCAGGCTGCTCCTGGTAAAGCCTAAAGGTCACCAATGGACAAAGAAAAACCCTGAAGGTGGTGGGACAGACCGACGAGAAGGAGGCAGAGAGTGGTGAACGGTGGGCCGGGGCTGGGGCTGGGCTCAGTCATGGGCAGTGGGCAGACAGGTGGGATGTGTCAGGTGATCGGTCCAGGTAGTCAGTCCTTACACGAGAGGCTGCGCTGGATACTTCGGAGGGACCCTCCAGCTGTAATAAAGGCCCAGAGCCCCATGGAAACCGTGACTGCATAGATGGGCAGCAGGCTGGCCTCGTACCATGGGTTCAGGAATGTCTGGGGATGGGAGTAAGAGTAGAAAAAAGGTTAGATTCTTCCTCTGCCTAATCCCCATGTACTCTTTGTGCCTTTGACCCAAACCTCGCCCAGACATCTCACTCAAGTCCCCCAGGCCTTCCCTTCAGCACCAACATCTTGTGGTTAAAGAGACTTCTGATTTTCAGCTTCCTCCGCTCCTGCTCACCTCAGGCCATCTGCATTACAGCTTGACCCATCCATGCAAACTCCTCCCCAGAGCACCCAGGGAAGGTTACTTCATTGATGCTGAAGTGAGGGACCTCTGAAGACTCACCTTTCTGCCTTCTCCCAAGATAAGTCTTTAAATGTTCAGAAGTGAAGATACGGTTCCCCTCCATACAACCCACCATTCAATTTTTCTCTGACTTAGGCCCCTGTCCCTGACTCACCAGTCCTGATGTCAGTAGGTGACTCCCAACCACCAGGCCCAAAGTCCAGTACCGTCGCCTCTCACAGGCGTCAAAGAACACAACTCCCCAGAAGGTATGAAGCAGGATGATGGCTGCTGTCAGGAAAGCTGCAGGGAGCGAGAGGGGGAGGGGATACATCCTTCACTTTCTCCCAGCCTCCTGAGATACTGAGCCGCCGAAGTCTCCCCGGGAGGGCCAATACATGAGGTCAGGGCCAGGATGGGTGGGGCATGAAGTCAAGAGAAAAAGTGGGACTTACCTGATGTCAAGAAGTAATAGGGTGAATCTCCATGGATCCCAACCACACCTGGCCCAAGTGCATCGGCCAAAATATTGATAACAGAGAAGACACCACTGATGATACCGAAAGAAAGACCAGAAACTGGGGGGAGGGAGGGGCTCATCAATGTCAGAAATCAGTAGAGCCTGCTTACCAGTGATCCCGCCCCGTTTCCAGGCACAAGCCCCCACACCTACTCTCCCTCCAGACCACCTCTCCTTGGAAGTCAGACATGAAGGAAACACGTAGCCACTTAGAACATGTGGGCGCTTAGAGACTTCCCAGAGAGAGGAAGGTGTCCACTGCCCTCCTCCAGTCCATCTCCCTTGGCTCACCATAGGCCATCTGGCGGATGGAGATGGGTGATCTTCCGTCCTCACTCAGCGATGCTAACCCCTCATCTGCCTTCCTGGGGTGGGGCGGGGCGGGGCAAACATGAGGGAAGGCGAGAGGCTCCTTTCCCGCTAATATCCTCCCTTCTTGCCTCTCCTTCCAAACCACCACCCGGGGGCTGCCCCACTTTTCAGGGTGCAGTCCTTTGCCCTTCTCCCCTCCAGACCATCCATCTTCTTACTTAAGCAGCTTGTAGTAGGCAAAGCGGAACATCTCCTGTAGAAGGACAGAGACCGCAGCACCAAAAATCAGGAGGCCATACTGGAGCCGGGCATCTGACGGGTCGGTCACATGGACCAAGATGAACCAGACCACAGAGGCCAGGAGCAGAGAGACCAGCCAGAAAAACGCCCTGAGGAAAAACGGGGGCCATTAGACAGGCAAAGGGGAGAGGCAGCCCGAGAAATCAAGGAGGGGAACCAACCAAAGCTGCAACGTGAAAAGTGGAAGTTAGACTTCCGGATGGTCAGGGAGACAGGGAACAGATAAGATAGGTGTCTCCACCAAGGGAGTCTCAGGGTTCCGGACCCAGGGGATGGGGTAGAAATGGACTCGAGAGCCTTCAGACCAATGAGAGTGGGAGTGTATGCGCACAGTAGGGCGAGGTATCCATGCCTGGACCCTCGCTTAGGGCCGCCCGAAGTCCCACAGCCCCTCCCGAGCCCTGGCCGCGGCCGCCTCTGACGTCGCCGGAAGAAGTGTAGAAGGAATCTGTGCGATCCCGGGAAGGCGGAAACCAGCTGCGGGAAGGGGCAATCGCCCAAACCCCCGACTCAGCCCTTCCGGATCTTCACCTCCGACTTGCCTCCCCCAACTCCGGCTCCCGGGGTAACCCCACTTCCTCCAGCCCCTTCCCGATCTCATTCCTGGGCGCCCTCCCGAGTCTCCCCGCCCCCTACTCACCCTGCGACCAGGATGATGACACGAAGGGGGTCCCCAGCCACAGTGATCAAGAAGAGCGCAAAGGCCGGGCCGAAAGCGACAAAAGTGCACCCGAAAAACACTGCGGCCCCCATTGCTGGTCAGCTGGGGGCGGGGTGGAGGCCTGGCCAAGAGAGGCAAATGGGAGGAGCACGCCCGCCAGAGAGTCCGCGTGGGGTGGCGACGCGACCCCGTAAGGGGCGCGGTGCAATGTCACCCCCGGGCCCCGGGGAAGGGGAAGGGGGGGCACCGAAACCCCAAATACAAGTCCGCGCGACTTCCTCTACGGAAGCCGAGGAGGGGACAAACCCCTGCCGCAGCCCCTTGGCCACCTCCCATCTACTCCCCGCCCCGCCCCCCGGCCAATGGAAAATCGGAGGGGGCGCGGCGGGGGCGGGATGCAGGGCCTGCTGGGAGTTGTAGTCCTCCCGCCCTTTTAAACCCTCCACTTCGGTGCTGGGCGTGGCTCAGGCCACAAAGGGAATTGGCCGAGACTGGGCCTGGGCGGGGCATGGGTTGAAGAGTTCGATTGTGCCAAGGCTGCGATTTCCTTTAGTTATTTTGTGGGAAAGGCTGGTAGCAGTCCTACCTCGACTTGAAGAGCTGCAGAGGGGGGAAGATCCTGTAGGAACCTCAGGGACAAATACGAAGAAAGCACAGGATAGAGGTTGCGAGGAGATAGGCACGGGTATTGTTCTGACTTGAATGAGAGGAAATGGGCTAGAGCTACTGCCTAAGGATGAAGGTTAGACTTAAAAGCAGGAGCTCTTCCAACAGGCCAGTATAGGAAACATGCAATACCGTGTATTATATCGCCAGTGAAGCCTTCATCGGTAATGACAAGAGAAATAGAGAGAAGGAAAGGGAGCTTGGAGAGCAATATTAAGGAGGTCAGAAGGGATTCACAGTTAAAATTGTAAAAAGCAATTAGAGCGAAGGGGTTGAAGGAAAGTTATTTCCTCCCCACCCCCCCACCCCCCCATCCCAGTCACTCAGTTCCTTTGATGTCATATTTCCTCTTTTTCCTGAAATGAACCTTGGTGGTGTCTTTTTCTCAGGCTGGGGGACGGGGCGGGGATTCCCCATTAGAGCGAAAGAAAGAGTAAGAGAGGAGGGTGTTGGACCCTCATTTGGATGGGTGGGATTAGTCCTTAGTGAGGATGTTGAGGCAAAAGTACCAGGAGGTTGTTCAAGGAGAACCAGGCCTCCTTTCCTTCCTGGAAGTGATTTATGTTTTAATGCATATATATCCACATAAATGTTTTTACATTTTTCTTTTTTTCAGGAAATTCTGGAAAGGAGAGGAAGGAATAGATTGTATGGATTTACATGGAAAGTCATCAAGCAAATCCTCTCCCAATAAGGCTGAGAGGGAGGGGGCACCCTGGCCAGTGCTCAGAATTCTAGTGTGTCTTGCATCTGAGTCTACCAGGCCAAGTCAGGTTAGACTTAAAAGCAGGAGCTCTTCCAACAAGATGTGGGGATAAGACAACTCTTCCTCTATCTCCTTTGAACCGGTACCACAGCATCTCCTAGGAGAGGAGAGCAGGTGCCAAATCTATCTTGTTCATGTGTGGTTCCACAGAGACTTGCAAGTGCCTGGCTCATAGTAGATATTGAAAAACATGTATTAACGCCCTTAAAAAAGCACACACACACACACAACACACACACACACTGTATTTTTTTAAATGTATTTTATTGATTTTTTACAAAGAGGAAGAGGGATAGAGAGTTAGAAACATCGATGAGAGAGAAACATTGATCAGCTGCCTCCTGCACACCCCATACTGGGGATTGAGCCTGTAACCAAGGTACATGCCCTTGACCGGAATCAATCCTGGGACCCTTCAGTCTGCAGGCCGATGCTCTACCCCCTGAGCCAAACCGGTTAGGGACACACACTGTATTTTTTTTTCTTATTCTTTTGCCTGTGAACCTGAATTGCCTATCAGACTCGGCCTAGCACTTTGTGCCTAGCCTGTATATTACTAAATGTTTCTGAATAGAATTCAATAAAAATGGAAAATACAAAAGTAGAGAAAAGGATAAGAGAAGCTATACTCCTGTAAGGCTGGAATGAAAAGAATACACCAAGTGACTGAAAGTGGAAGAGGTGTGGCCCTACGCAAAAGAGACTATCTGCTTTCTCCCTTCCATCCTGAATTCAGCAAGTTAAGAGAGAGGTGAGGTGAGGTCAGTACTTACCAGAGAGGAAATAGCTGGCCTTGGCTGAGAGATTTTGATCAAAAGCAATGCAGCAGGTGCTTTGAGAGTCAGACAATGATGTTGCTATTGCTCCCGTACTTCACAGTCCAAGGCAGGCAGAAAAGAGGGACTCTTTTCAGCTAGAAAATGCTCATCCCTTCTCAGAACATGTCAACTGTGAAGAAAGAGACTGTGATACAGCCTCAGAGAGAAGGGCGACTCTGGATGGTGATGGTAACTTAGGGACAGTGAGAGGGGAGGGGAGCTTTTTGTGAGGACTGAGAGAGAGGGAAGGGGAGGAAGGGAGAGGGCTTGCTAAGAGAAGCTTCTTAGTAGTGGGAGTGGGGGTTGTTTTGTTGTTGTACTTTTCGTTAGTGGCGGCAGGAACCCTAAATGGACCTAATCTAGGGCTGGGGGAGCTCAATGAGCATGCTCCCATCGAAGCCCACTTCACTTTTCTTCACAGGGGCAGCTCTGACTGAGGACAAGACCAATAGTGACTGAGGATCTAGTCCGTCAGCAAGTAGGAGGGGAATTCCACCCCTGAGAGTAGAGTTGCTGCAGCTCCCTCCCTGCTCTGGAGGAGGGCCGGAGGCGGGGTAAGTTTGGTGGGAAACGCTGTAATTTCCTTTTTAACTTTCACAGTCATAGTGCAGCATCCAGAATGGATGTCCTCCTTGTAGCCATCCTTGCTGTGCCACTCATCCTGGGTAAGTTCATGTCTCTCCCTGAACTTTGGGGCCAGGTCTTCTACTGTAAATGGAGTGGGAGGGGGGAAAAATGAGGAGCGGTTGAGAGGTGCAGTTCAATGGGGGAGTGCTAAACACTCTCCCATCTGTGCTACGGGCCAGTGTCGGGGGTGGAGGGGAGTCTGGGAAATACAGCCAGGAAAGGGGGAGGGGAGCAGAGTCCTGTCAGAGAGGAGACAGCTGATGAGGATGAAGCCCCAGAGCGTGGAGGTCCTAACAAGAGTGAACTCAGCTCTCCATCACCACAGAGATGAACAAGATGAGAGGGTCTGGACGGAGAGGAGAGCCGTGGACTCTGAAGGTGGGGAAGTTTGCAACTAGTGAGGGGAGCCAGTCTATCTTCTTTCCAAGAATGTTGGAGGGGGGTGGGCTGGGGGGACTTGCATTAGTAAAGAAATGGAAATGGAGGTGACCTTTAGGGGAGTGAAGAACTGGGTGCCTTCAGGGACAGGGTCTGAAAAGCAGCTTGGGTCCTTCCCTCCTTTGTTCCCCGTCTGCCAGGTGCTCTTGTTTCCTTTTCCTCCAGAGTCTTGTGTCACTGCTTGTGGTTAAGGACTTCAAGGGGCTTAGGGAAGTGTTTTAGCAGGAGGCCTCGAGCTCTTGATCCAATCATGTCAAAGCTACATATTTCCAGTCTGGGGAAGGAAAATGAATGCAGATGGGTTATTTACTCCAGCTGACTCATTTTAAGAAAACGGATGTTAAGTGGCTTGTTCAAAGTTATCCTGACAGCAATGAAAACTAGAACTAAAATAAAAATCCAAAGCCGAACGGGCGTGTATGTTCATTATTTGTGAGAGACACTGATAAGAGAATAACTCTTATAAACACAGTACAGCCTGGAGCATACTGAATTGTAGATTTGGAGTTCTTAATTTCTGGTCTCTCTCTCTCTCCCTCCTGCCTTTTTTTAGGTTTAGTTTTTGTTTTTGGTTTACAGTATGTGAAGGGATCTGTTTTCTGTTCTGGGATTTCCTGATTGAAAGGGCACAGAGGAACAAGCCTCATCCTGATATGAAGCCCAGAAGACTGAGAAGGGTTGAGAGGTACAGAGACAGGGAGATAGTTTTACCCTTGGAGGTGAGGTCGAAAGGAAAGTGATAGAGCTGAGATAAACTTCAAGTGTCCTTCTGTTGCTAAGAAGTCCCAGATACCCCTTGACCTCTAGTCCTTGTCCCCTTAGGACAAATATATGAGGATGAAGAAGGACTGGAAGAGGATTATTATTATCAAGTAATCTATAATTACACAGTCACCCCCACTTATGGTGAGTATTTATAAAGCTCTGACCCTTAGCAGGATGGAGAGAGGTTTAGGGGATACTTAGTTCTGAGACAAAGTCTTTCCCTTTGCAATAGAGCAACGGGGTCGGAGAAATTTTGCTATGAGCAGACTATCGAGGCTCATGATGTTGTTTCTCAAGATAGCAATTTCCAGTTCTTTGGAACTGGTTGAACAATTTGAAATTTTTCAAATTTGTAAATTATTTTAGGTGTTAGATTGAAAATATAAATGCTCTTGTGGCTCAATTGGTTAGAGCATCAACCCATACACTGAAAGGTGGTGGGTTCATTTCCTGATCAGGATACATACCCGAGTTATGGGTTTGATCATCAACTGGGACACATACAGGAGACAACCAATGGATATTTCTCTCTCACATCAATGTCTCTCTCTCACTCTAAAAAAATAAAGAAAGAAAATATAAACACATTCACAGACATTTCTCACATTCAAGTTTATTAGAATTAGATTTTACCAGTAAATTTTACAACTTGAACAAGTTGAAGTGTTCTGAGCAATTTCTTCAGCTTTTCATTACTAGAGGTAGTACTACCGTTCTCTTTTGTTACTACTGATTGTTTTCTCCTCTCCAGATCCAGATTATTTTGGTGCAAATTTCACTGTTGATTACTCCATGTTTGAGTTAGAGGACAGACTGGTAAGTGACATCTAAGAGGATCAGGAGAGATAACAGTTAAAAAGAAACTGAACAATGTTGAAATGAAAATTATTAACAGAAATGAAAATGAGTTAGTAGAAGTAAAACTGGGGAGTGGATACAAAACAAATGTGTTATCATAGGTGGGGAAGAGAAGCCAGAACCCAGTAGGTTAAGACACTAAAAGGAAGGAGTAGCCCTTGAGTCCAGGGAATTGGTGAATGGGATGGGTACACAATCCATGCAAATGCAAGGTAAAGAGGATCCCTGCGCTTAACTCTTGGAGGGTGAGCAGGATGGGGCTGGGGACAGGAGAAGTGAAGGAGAGATGAATTCTAGAGAATCAATGAGGATGTTGGATGGAGGTGATGATTGATAACTCTTAGTTTCCTAATCCTACTGAGGATAGAACAGGCTGGATAAGGAGGTAACGGAAGCAGAGGAGACAACCATTATTCATGAAACAGAACGTGTAGACCATCAGAGGCCTGTAACAGTGAAATCAGTGACAGTGGAACCAGTGACAATGGAACCAGTGACAATGGAACCAGTGCCAATGAAACCAGTGACAATGGAACCAGTGACAATGAAACCAGTGAGTTAATTGGGGATAAGATGGGAGGGACATGAGACATCCCTTACCCTGGATAGGTCCCAGGGCTGGTGACATGGAACAGAGGAAGGAATGGAATACCAGGCTTTGGTGGATGGGGAAAACAAATAACTAGTATTGCAATGCAGGTGTTCATCTCAGCTTCGCCATCATTTCTTTTACTGAGATTTAATACTAACCCTGTATACAGAACCCTGGGAATATTTGGTGCAGTTAAATTTCAGTTGGGTGTGTAATGTATGTAACCTATGCCTAAAGCAGCTAAGGATGCTGCCAATGATGAACAATAAATCCACGGTGTTGTTATTGTCCTCAAAGTATTTATGATACCCAAGTTTACACGTATAAAATATTTAGAAAAAAATGAGGAAATTTATAACAATGTTAAGTTACATACAAGTTTGAGAGCATGTGATGTAGACAAGTGCTTTAGGCAGTGGAGGGACAGAGATCAGTACAGGAGTTGAAGACTTTTAGAAGGTGATTATGCTGAGATACACTGAAGAATAGGTGAGCTTTTGATTGGTGGTACATAATAAAAGGATGAAAGCAATTAGGAAGAATAGCTATTAGAAGAATGGAGGAGCTGCATTAACTATGGGGATAGAACAAGCATGACATATTTTTTAGAGGAGCTATGATTGAACGAGGGGGTATATGGAAAGGAGCAGTGGGAAATTAAGAAAAAATAAAATTTACAAGACTCTTAATATTTGTTTGATAATTTCACAAATGGGAAGATAGGACAAAATAATATGAATCTGAAATGTCAGGCTTTATTTTTTAAAATAAAAAAAGTTTGAACTTACAAGAAATAGGGAGCCTAGTAAGTTCTTCAGGGTGGTAAAGACACACTAAAAGCGGCATTTTAGAAAAACTATTTGTCTGGTTGTACACAGGATGCAATGGAGTGAAGAGAGATTCATGAGATTTCTATCATCCCCAAAACAATCCATTAAAAGCTTGGACTAGGGAAGGCAGTGGCATTTTGAATGGAGAGAAGAAAAAGAAATACTTTGGGGGAAAAATACCGTGTTTCAGTGATAATTTCATATGAACACTAAATGAGTAGAGAGTTAAAATAACATATTTTAAACATGGATATCCAGGGAAATGGTTGACCAAAATGGGAAGTGGGAGGTCAGAGGGTTTTAGAAGTGGTTATAAATTTGGTATTGGCCAAGCTGAACTCATGTGGTCAGCCCTATGAGGCTATCGTAAAGGTAGCGGAATTAAAAGAAAAGAAGATTAAAAAAAAAAAAAAAAAAAAAAGGTAGAGGAATTAGGCCAGGACTGCAGTTCTAAGTGCAAAGTCACAGTTACGAAAGTAGTGAGCTCAGTAGAGCTGTACACACAGGAGACCAAAAGGCCAATGCCTGTGCCTGTAGAAGGTGAAAGAGGAATCAACCAAGGAAATGCAGGTAGCTAAGTTTGTATTATAGAGTCTAGAAGAGAAAGTTTAATATAATCAATGAAAAGCTACCAAGAGGCCAAGGAGAAGGAGATTATTCATAACCCCCAAAAAGCAGTTTTAAGTGAGTGGTTGGAGCAAAAGCTAGACTTTGTGCAATTGGAGAGGGAGTACATTGTAAGGAAGAGCATAGACCAGGGGTGGGCAAACTTTTTGACTCGAGGGCCACAATGTGTTCTTAAACTGGACCGGAGGGCCGGAACAAAAGCATGGATGGAGTGTTTGTGTGAACTAACATAAATTCAAAGTAAACATCATTACATAAAAGGGCACGGTCTTTTTTTTTTTTTTTAGTTTTATTCATTTCAAACGGGCCGGATACAGCCCGCGGGCGTAGTTTGCCCACGGCTGGCATAGACCAACCATTTGTGATATTTGGCAATGAAATAAAGAGAAGCAACAGGACCGAAGTACAGCCTGAATACAGTTTAACACAGATGGGAGGAATGGAAAGTTATAATTGACAAGGACAGAGAAACATTTTAAAGTATATAGTAGGCTTCCTTTAGGTTATAAACTCCTTGAGTAGGAACCATGTCTTAACCATATTTCTATCCCTCCTATAGCATGTAGCACAGGGACCAGCACATAAATAAAAATACATATTGAATTGAGTTGAACCTCCCTGGTATGGCCAGGAATGGGTGAAAGGCACAGAGGAAAGAATTCTTTATGGTGCTGGGATGGAAGGTATGCTCAGAGGAAAGGAAGACATAAGTTGGTATAAAGAGATGGCTATCTTTCCAGATGGTGAGGGAGTAGTAGGAAGGATGACACTGGCCTACTATGGCATGACATCTCTATTTTAGCAGAGTCCAGATAGGAACCACGCTGTATCCAGTCTGCAGAGTCCTGTTTCCCTTCTCCTGTCCTGGGCCCTCCTTCAGGAGTGGATGTATTTCATGTAGAAGGTGAGAGTGCAGCCACTGGCCTTGATAAAGTCTGTGAAGCAATTTTTACCACTATCTCTGGCTAGTGTTTCCAGCCTGGTCAATTTTCAAATGCATAAAAGAAGAGGGATCACATCTAGAAAAACCTTAGGAGATGTCGAGGCCAAGACTTTTGTAATAAGAATAATTAATTTTTTTGAACTGGAAGGATTTCAGGGCCCCCTAGAGCAGAAGCAGGTGGAATGGAGAAGAAACCTCTCCTGGTTCCCAGTCTGCCTTGAGTTATTAAAGGTGGTTCCAGCGTGATGGTAGTTTAAGGCATGGCAAGAGCCAGAGGGCAAAATGGGAGCGGCCCTATAACCTGGCAGAGTCAAGAGGCAAAGTTCAGAGACAGAAGGGGTGGCAGTTCCCTAATGTAGGGGAGAGGTGGTGGGGGAAAGGAGGAGGGAATAGAAACCTGTGTTATAAGGAAGGGATTTAAGTTGGGATTCTAAATAACTATGGGGCGGTGGGGGAGGGAAGGGGGAAGGGGGGAAGGGGGGGGGATAAATAAATAAATAAATAAATAAATAAATAAATAAGGGGCATGAAGAGATTTAGCAGAAGGAAAGGGTGAAAAAGGGAGGGGACACATCTTCCAGGAGATGTCATGGAGAAATATAGCTCAGAACATGAAATCTGGGGCGTTTTCATAGAGGTGGGGCATGGAGGGGTTTCCTGAGTCCCCTGAACCTGGTTGGTATTGTTTTCCTTTTTTTTTTTTTTTTTTTTTTTGCTTTTTTTAGGATGAGAATGCTGTTATGACTCTTTGGATGGGGATTTGGGAAGAGGAAGTTGGAAAATAAAATAAATAAATGAAATAATCTGATTACTCTCTACTCCTTCATGAGGGTCTGTTCTAAGGCTACAACACTAAAGGAAGCACCAGGATATGGGGGTGGGAAGGGTAGACTAGAAAGGGAGTTAGGTGGCCCAGCAGGTGTTGCTCAGTGGTCGAGCATGGACCCATGAACCAGGAGGTCAGGGTTGGATTCCTGGTCGGGGCACATGCCAGGGTTGTGGGCTCCCCACATGTAGGGGATGTGCAGGAGGCAGCTGATCAATGGTTCTCTCTCATCATTGATGTTTCTATCTCTCTCCCTCTCCCTTCCTCTCTGAAAACATAGTTTTTAAAAAATATATTAAAAATAAAATGTTTTTTAAAAAGGGAGGTGACAATAGTATTAGGACTGTGAATAAACCTGAAGTTTTGGGAAGAAAGGAGAAAAGCACCCTCAGACAACAGGTTTATTCATAGTCTATGACTCCCTCTGATTCTATTGCTTTATTTGATTATTTATAGTGTTAAAACTGTGTTTGGGGATAGTTGAAATTAGTTTATTTAGAACCCTTGTTTTCCTTTTATAAAATAAGCCTATTGTTAAACATATGTAAAATATAAAATACTACTTAGAATAGATAAAAATTTCACACCCTCCTCCATTCCTCCCACCCCCCCAACAATGTGCCTTTTCCAATTAGTAATTAGGGCAGGCAGGGACATTTTTTTTCTCTGTCCTCGAGACCCTAATCAAGACTGTGCTGCCCCCTTGCGGTCTCTCCTATGTTACAGCTTCAATCCGCTTACAGTCCTTGAGTCTCCCCTTTCTCTCTCCACCGTACCGTTTCAATACTGCAAGGGGCAGCGAACTCCGGACTTGGCACCTTCCCTCCTTCAAAGCCTTTCGAATTTCTCCAGGGGACAAATGGAGAAACTGAAGCCAGACAAACACCTCACCTGGAGGATCGGGGACCTCCCCCCCACCACGTTCCAGTGCTAGGAATCACAGAATTCAGGGCGCGGAGCCGGAGGAGCCCGGGCAGAAAGGCCAGGAACAATCGAATTCGGCTTTGACCTCTGGAGTCGTGGCGGGCTGGCATCTGAGCTAGTAACGTGCACGGCGGGTTATGTAAGGGAGGAGCCGCCCCAGCGGGAGCCCGAGAGAGAACGCGGTGTTCTCGGCGGCAGTCCCCACCCTCCCCACCCAGCAGGGCAAGAGGCACACAACTTGTAGGAGAAAGAGGAGGGGACGGCGAGACAGAGACGGCGGAGTAACGAGGTCTGGGCAGCCGACAGGGGGCGAGGCTACACGGCGGCACGCATCCATTAAGACACACATTGCAGATGCCAGTCGCTGTTGGCTCCACGTGCTTCACCCGTGAGCGGAGGCGCTCAAAGCGGGGGCAGAGGGGCCGGATCCCGAGGAGCCGGGAGTCCTACATCTCGAGGCGTGCGCCTCAGGTCACGCAACCATTCAGCACACCCCGGCCACGCGTTTCCGGCGCACCACCATCCTATTTAAGGCCACGGCTTCCGCCCTTTTCCTCCCCTCCCTTCTTTTCCAGTCTTTTTCCATCCTCCTCCTCTTCTCATCACCGGGTCCTCTCCCCGAGCCGCATGTAGGGGCGGGGCACGGAATGCTGCCCTTCCAGCCAATCGTCACCTGACCGCCTCTCTATTGGCCGAGCCCCTGTGTGCTGTAGCCAATGGGGTGAGACTGTCAGTAACTGTGGTCACGTGCCACCGGCGAGCAGACCAATGAGGGGACGAGGTCTGTGTACGCAGGGGGGAAGGCACGTGCGGAACTGCACGTGTCTGGGAGGGGCAAGGGGCGGGACCCCCTGGGAGCGAGGCGGAGGTGGGTAGCCGCGACCCGGAGTGTGCGAGGAGCTGAAGACAGCCCTGGCTGAGCCGGCCGACACAGGTGAGGAGACCGGGAGGACGGGGAGCTGCGCGGGAGGATCGGCCCGGGAGAGAGTAGGTGTAGGGACCTCTTGGTATTGGGAGGGATCGTATCACGTGGCAGAGGGACCCGAGAGGGTCCGGAGCAGGAAACCTGATGAGAAAGACGAGGAAGAGGCAGAGGGGGCGGGAGTGGGGGGGGGGGAGGAGGAATGTCTCTATGGGAGGGGTTCCTGCAGAGTCACTGGGTGGGTTCCGGTGCCGGAGCTTTAACGCTCCCGGGTGGCGCTCCCGGGTGGCGTGACCTCCGGAGGAGAGGCTCGCTGCGGAATCAGGCTCGGAACTCATCAGGCGAACCATGGGCCGGGCCGGGGAAGGTGTTAAGCCAGGTATTTGCTCTTGAAATCAGGGAAGAGAGAACAGAAGTCCGTCGGGCTAAGAGCTGCTCTGCCGAGGCCAGAGCGGCAGTTTGGGTTCTTAATGGAGGCTGGGGAGATGGCTTTTTACGATGGCCCTGAGACAGGTAACATTGGCGAGGCAGAGAGGAGAGAGGATTGTCCCGCACCGTACACCCCAGCCGCCCAGTCCATTTCCTGATTCTCGGATTCTGGTTTCCAACTCCTTTGCTTTGCTCTTCAGTTGCAGGTCCGATCTTTGGGTACTCCAGGAGCTGCTCTCCAGCCCCTGCTTCTGAACCTATGGATTCTCCATCTAGCGTTTCCTCCTATTCTTCCTCCTCTCCCCCTTCCTCTTTTTCCACCTCCCCAGTGAACAGTGACTTTGGCTTCCCCTCGGATAGTGAGGGGGAGGAGAAGGGGCCCCGTGGCCCCAGGCCGGACATTGTTGGGCAGAGGGGAGGCTCTCGGCCCAGCCCCGGTCCTATCCGCTGCAGGCAACGACCCAAGGTTTCTAGGAACCAACGTACAGCATCTCACTCGGAACAGCGGGGCTTGGCTTCTCCTATGGCAGGGTCTGGGGTCAAAAGATCAAGAGATCGCCGTGCATTGGAGACCAGTCTAAACATCCGTAGTACAACCACAGAAGGAGACCTGCTCTTTGCTCAGAAGGTAAGAGAAAGCTGGGGGGAAGCAGATACTACTGGGGTGTCTTAGCTCCCTGCTACTGGTAAGGACCCTGTGAGGATAGTATTGGCTCCCGGATTTGGAGGTGGAAGAAGAATCAGTGCTGGTGTAAGCAATGCTCATAGCCTTCCTCCGTTTTTCTACAGTGTAAAGAGCTCCAGGGATTCATACGTCCTCTCACAGACCTCCTGAATGGGCTGAAGATGGGTCGCTTTGAAAGAGGTTAGTTGCATTCATCCGAGCTAGGTTCACATCTCTTGTGTTTCCTCTCTCCTCTCTCTTTGAAAATCTGTTTTCAATGTGTATTTCTTGTAAGTCTTAGTTTGGGTCTTGATTATTCCTTTTTTTTTTTTTTTTTCGGGGACTTAATTTCTGTGGGTGAATCCATTTTAACCCCCTGCTGTCCTTCCTTTCTTTACCTGACTAAATTCTTGAATTCCAATCCTTGATCTCTTTCTCACTCCCTGAACCCAGGATTGAGCAGTTTCCAGCAGAGTGTGGCAATGGACAGGATCCAGCGTATCATAGGTGTTTTGCAGAAGCCACAGATGGGGTAAGTTCTTCTGGCTCTTTCCTCAGTACGTCCTTAAAAGGGAGGTATTTTCAGCCCTGTCATGTTGCTTCTTTCACATTTAATTGTGTGTTGTTTTTTTAATTTCTTTTTCACAGGGAGCGTTATCTGAGAACTCTGCTACAGGTAGAAGGAATGCTAAAGACTTGGTTTCCTCACATAGCTGCCCAGAAGTCATCATTGCGCAGTAGCAGGCATCAGCTGACCAAGGTAAGAATCTATAAACCTGAGGAAGAGGTGGGAAATTAACCAAGGAAATGAAGTGTACAATTAGAAATGGGCTTCCTCTTCTATTTCTTTCTGGGTCTTTTTATCTTTTCGACAAGTTCCTTTTCAGGGAAGGGGAAAATGAAACTTCCTTTATTGTCTTGATTCCTAGATGTTATTTTTGTTCTGTCACTGCAAAGGACTCTGTGAGGTTTAATCCTACCCCTCAGATGGCAGCTTATCTGCTTTTTGCATAGATATAGAAGGCTTTTACCTGGCCAAATGATTCAGGTCGGAAGGTGTCTCACTCCCTGAACCCAAATCCTTTCTCTCTGCAAATCTTTTTTTCTCTGCTGCCCCTAAGATGCTTTCCTTCTCCTTTTTATTCCTACCCAAGTATGGTCATACCAGACCCTCTAGAAGCATGGGCTTACTGGACTGGGAGAGAGGAGGGCAGCCCTGGAGCATTCATGGGGGATTGTTTGAGCCTTAGACCTAGTGTGGAAGTGAACTATTTTCTGGGCCTTCAAATAATAAGGTATTTAGGGGCACTCGAATGATAGGGAGGAGAAAGTTTCCTGTAGATAATAGACAGTCCTTGTTTTCAATCAACCACAGTTATCACTGTGAGAATAATCAGTTTTAAAATAAGCCACCGGGTAGCTCAGATGGTTAGAGCATCGTCCCAATATGCCAAGGTTGCAGGTTTGAACCCTGGTCAGGGCACATACAAGAATCCACCAGTGCATGCATAAGTAAGTGGAACAGCAAAGATGTTCCCTCTCTCTCTTGTTCCCTTCCTCTCTCTAAAAAATCAATTAAATTTTAAAAATTATTAAAAATAATTGGGAGGAAAACAATGAAATCTTACCATTTGCAATAGTATGGATGGACCTAAATAGTCTCGGGCATGTAAAGTACAGCATAGGAAATATAGCCAATAGTATTGCAAAAACTGTGTAACTGTGTAACGTAATACACCTAAAACTAATACAAAATAATGTTGAATGTAAACTGTAATTTAAAAATAAAATCTTAAAAATAAGCAGGAGGATCTTGCCTGTATGTTAATTTATACTTCTTAAGGCACTCAACATAGGAAATTAGAATTTAAAATACAGAAATGGGAAATGATTCCAATGAAAAGAAATTAAAAATGAATTATAATAACCCATAGAACTGTTTTATTTGGTATATGTCTGAATATCTAGTGCCCTAATATAGTGTGTGGTACATAGTGGGCCCTCAAGTATTGGTTGAGTAAATGAAAATATAATTTGGTTACTAAAACTTTTACTTAGGACCTGGCAGGAAATTATCTGTTGCATAAAACAAGGTATGTTTGCTTTGCAAACCGTTCCCAAGGAAAGCAAAGGTTTAAGTAACCAGGTAGAGTTCATCTGAAAGTTTTCTCATAATTTCTTTTCTTTTCTCCCCTTCCCTAGCATTTTCTAAGCCACCACAGTTATCCAGCTGCCTCCTCTCCTGCACCTTCCTTGGAAAAGATGGAACAGACACAGCTGGGACATCTGGTATTAAAACCAAAGCAGCCTTGGCATCTCCCTCAATGGCCAGCTATGAACCTCACTTGGATCCACACCACTCCAATTTGCAACCCCCCTCTCAGTACTCCAAGCACTGTCTCCTTTAGCCAGGGTCCTTTAGGCACTGGAACCAGCATTGGTGTCATCTTTTTCCTTCAGCATGGAGTGCAGCCTTTCACCCACTCTGCCCCGACCAGTCCAGTTCCACCTACTACAGCGTCTCCTGCCATCTCTGGTCATCCTAAGAAACTGTCTGGAGAGAGACCTCGCTGCCACAGTTTGCCAGTAACTCTGCAGTCAGACTGGAGCTGTCCCCTGTCCCCTCGTGATCTTCCCACCATGGCCAGAGAGAAGACTGTGGGACACCTAGAACAAATGAGAAGCCGTCCTCCAGTTGCTCCTGATGTCCATCCTCTCAACCCCTAATCCAAGACTTAAGACTGTAGTTTCTAATTTGTATAAATATATGTCTATACATATATATGTGTGTGTATGTATGTGTGTGTGTGTGTATTACTTTTAATGTGTGCATTTGTGTTGAGGGAAGAGAAATCCTTTCTGATTAAAGAAATTTTATACTTAAACAGTTTGCTGATTGGGGGGGAATTGAAACCTGTTTCAAATACCAATATTTATCCTCAATGCTGCAGAAAAGAAGGGATGGGCAGGTTTGTGAAGTTGAGCTCCACCCAGTGGGAAGTCTGGATGGGACAATGAAAGTCCTGTGGGAAAGGAAGAGGGACTCCGCTGCTGGCTTCCTAGAGAACAGCCTTGGGACAGTTACAGGGCTCAGAGTTGGCTTTGTTTTTTTT